GGTCTTACAGAGCGTCGTGAGCCTGAGTCTCGTCCTGCGTCGCCTGTTCGTACTGCTCGCACTGGTCGTCGTGTCCCACGTGAGCGTCCTCCTCCTGTCCTTGGCACTCACTACATGACTCTGCGTCCCTCCACTGCTCCTCAGCGTGTCCCGCTACCGTCTCCTCCTGCTTCCTCTCTGCCTACTCTTCCTGACCCGGAGTCTGACTCCCGTCGTGCTGTCAGTCCCACAGTCACCCGTCTCCTCGCTACTGTTGTCACTGACCCTACCTTTGAGTCCTCTGCTGCGTCTGCTCTGGTCGCTGAGTTGATAGACTTTGCTGCCCGGTGTCGTCTAGACTACGCCACTAGCCTTGTTGCCGAGTCTGAGTCTGCGTCTGTCTGTCCTCCGTCCGTCGGGGGTGAGTGTGCTCTTGGCACGGACGTCCTTGAGGACAGACAGGAGGAGTTCCAGTGCTTTGCTACTGCTTTGCCCCACCTCGTGTCCATGCTAGTTGCCCCTGAGGGAGACCCGGATGCACCAGACATCCCGACCCCGCGCACTTACGCTGAGGCGATGGCGGGTCCCTACTCCTCTCAGTGGCAGACAGCCATGGACGCTGAGATGGCTTCCTGGAAGTCCACACGCACCTACGTCGACGAGGTTCCCCCACCTGGGGCGAACATCGTCAGTGGCATGTGGATTTTCAGGGTGAAGCAGCCGCCGGGTTCTCCTCCTGTCTTCAAGGCGCGCTACGTGGCTCGAGGCTTCAGTCAGCGAGAGGGAGTTGACTTCTTTCAGACCTTCTCCCCCACCCCGAAGATGACCACTCTTCGGGTGCTGCTGCACATAGCCGCTCAGCGCGACTACGAGCTTCACTCGCTGGACTTCAGCACTGCTTTCTTGCAGGGCAGCCTGCACGAGGAGATCTGGCTGCGCCGCCCTCCTGGCTTCACTGGGTCGGTTCCTCCTGGTACCCAGTGGAGGCTTCAGCGGCCGGTCTATGGTCTCCGCCAGGCACCGCGTGAGTGGCATGACACACTGAGGACGACACTTGCGGCTCTTGGGTTCGCTCCCTCTACTGCTGACCCGTCACTGTTTCTACGCACAGACACCTCACTGCCGCCGTTCTACATCCTCGTGTACGTCGACGACTTGGTCTTTGCCACTGCTGACACCGCGGCACTCGCCCACGTGAAGTCGGAGCTGCAGAGGAGACACACGTGCACAGACCTGGGTGAACTGACAAGCTATCTTGGCTTGTGGATCACCCGGGACAGAGCACGGCGCACCATCACCTTGACTCAGTCACACATGGTGCAGCAGATCCTTCAGCGCTTCGGCTTCACGTACTCCTCGCCTCAGTCCACTCCTCTGCCTACCGGTCACTCGCTCTCAGCTCTGCCTTCGGATGAGTCCGTAGAGCCGAGTGGCCCGTATCCAGAGCTTGTGGGCTGCCTCATGTACCTGATGACCTGCACTCGACCTGACCTTGCATACCCTCTTAGCATCCTTGCACGCTATGTCGCTCCTGGCCGTCACAGGAAGGAGCACATGGATGCCGCTAAGAGGTTGTTGCGCTACTTGTGCAGTACGTCGGGCATGGGGCTAGTGCTTGGAGGGCGAGACCGAGTTGTACTTACTGGACACTCAGACGCTTCTTGGGCGGACGACCAGGCTACTCAGCGGTCGTCTCAGGGTTACACCTTCAGCCTTGGCTCCGGCTCAGTTTCTTGGCGTTCTACACGCTCTTCTTCTGTTCTCAGCTCCAGTTGTGAGGCTGAGATCTACGCCACAGCCATGGCTGCCCAGGAGCTACGCTGGCTGACCTACTTGCTGACCGACTTGGGAGAGCGGCCTCGTTCTCCTCCAGTGCTGTACGTCGACAACCAGGCTGCCATTGCCTTGTGTGAGGAGCACAGACTGGAGCACAGAACGAAGCACATCGCCCTGCGGTACTTCCTTGCTCGAGAGCTGCAGCAGCGCGGTCAGCTTTGTCTGCGTTACGTGGCCACTGAGGCCAACCTTGCTGATGTGTTCACCAAGGCGCTTCCGCCTTGTGACCATCAGCGCTTCTGCACTCTGCTAGGCCTTGTGCCTACTGGACCTCACTTACTTACCTCTTGACCTTGCTTGTACTGTGATTTATATATATATACCTGCATGTTTACTCTTGCTAGGTTGTGATCACTGTATCCCATGCTCTGTTATAAACCTGCATGTGAACTGGTCTTGTGACCACTTACTTGTGCTCGGAATTTGTGTGGTATCCTTGAGATCCACCCTGAGCTTGTTGTTGTCTTGCTTTGCCTTGACTGGTCTTGTGACCCCTAGGTCTCCCCCACTTTGCCTATGGGGGTGTGTCAAACATTATACATGTTGTATTTGTGTAGGCTGTAGTGGGTTAGCCTATAGGGGGTCACCTCATTAGGGTTTCATATTTGTACTCACAATTCTTGCTTTCTAGTTCACCCATTCCAGTCTCTTCTTCTGACATTTTATCCCAGTGGTTAGTGACTGGGATTCTGACACATAGCGCAGCGACGCGCAGCGAGGGGGGGTTGCGAGCTGACGGGCAGCGAGGGGAAATAGCGAGGCGACACGCAGCAGGAATTCGACATTTCGCGTTGCATACGGTGTAGAAGCTGCTGGTAACATAGCGCGATAACGACGAGTGGAAAGTTGGTAGGGGAGGCACGGTGGGTGACGCCATGGATGGCGACTCGGCGAAGGAAGCGTGTGCGGACGACGACGACGAAGCGATAGACGATTGCGCGCGACAAGCGAAACCTATTTACGGTACTAGATTGTCAGAATCCCAGCCACTAACCACTGGGATAAAAGGGCTTGTTTGTGTAGCGGGTGAGTGCGCCCATAACCCCCCAGGCCGCCATGCCTGTAACCCTTCCCTAGGATCAATCGGGGATCACCAGTGGACCTCTGACACCCCCCCGCACTGGGATGCCCGAGGTGCACACACCGGGATTCGAACCCGAGACCTTCGCTCTGATACCATGTCAGAATCCCAGTCACTAACCACTGGGATAAAAGGGCTTATTTATATAGCGGGTGAGTGCGCCCATAACCCCCCAGGCCAACATGCCTGTAACCCTTCCCTAGGATCATCGGGGATCCCCAGTGGACCTCTGACACCCCCCCGCACTGGGATGCCCGAAGTGCACACACCGGGAATCGAACCCGAGACCTTCGCTCTGATACCATGTCAGAATCCCAGCCACTAACCACTGGGATAAAAGGGCTTGTTTGTGTAGCGGGTGAGTGCGCCCATAACCCCCCAGGCCGCCATGCCTGTAACCCTTCCCTAGGATCAATCGGGGATCACCAGTGGACCTCTGACATAGATCACGTCTTACTACATAACGCACCCGAGCAAAGTCATTATTTGCACGCCTATGAGACTAACGACTAGGATTTCAACTTTTCTTAGCTTGGCAGTAACAGGTGACAAGGGAAGTATAAAACAGAGTCATGTCACCCAGTTCCAGCTTGAAAATGATGTTGGGCCTGGCGACTCAAACCGTCGCAGCGAACGATCGTGCGGGTGAAGCACGTAAACATGCGACAGCTGACATTGTTTTGGCGGGAGCCAATTTTTGGAAACAGCCAATCACATCATTCCATTCTGAACACTTGAGTTTTTGGAGCAGTTTTGCATCGGCCCGATCTCTTTCCCTCTTCGCAACACTTTTTCAAGCTGGGTCGGGGTTCACTACAGTTGTTCTCGTTTGAAGCCCGACGGAGAAACACGCCGCGCGCGGACTATATGTCAAAATGTCCGAAACCCCGGGCAAACGGGACCCTATAGTCCCAAATTCGAGAAAATTGCATGAAAAGCGGTTTTTTGTCTCTACTGGTTGTTGTTTTTTGTCATATACGTACGTATGGACCGCGCTTGCTTCAACTTCTCGTCGAACGGTTTTACGCGTTATCAGTGATGCGTGAAAAACGGGCAGAAATAAACAACATCGATTATGTTTGATGCCATAATAAGTTTGTCTTTTTGTTTTTCCTTCCTGTCAGCGAGATTACTGAGATGTCATCGTGGAGCGCGCTAGGAATCGCGCGACGGGAATAAGAAACAAGCGCGGTCAAGAGAAACAAAAAATATCAGTTGTAGATGTTTACTTCAAAACAAAACTGCCCTTTTTAGCATTCTCCGTAAATGTTCAAGGCACTTATACGTGCAATGAACCTGGTCAAAAAAGGGACTGTAGAGGAGGGGCCACACCTAGGAATTAAAGGAAAAAGCTCCTCATTCTGAAAATGGGACTTTGTGAGCGCGGGACTTTATAGCGGAACCATATGTATTTTATATTTCGGTTTTAAGGAGAGAAATACAAACATGAACAATAAATGTCAGTTCGTGAGCGGAGTAAACCAACCACGACAAGTTCTGTTGTGAAGATGTCGTGGCACCGACTTGACTGTAACGACAGGCAAGACTTTCATGACATCGCGTCGCATCCCATTGCTTCCTCTCCTCGCTGGTGCGCTTCCGCCCAATTCGCTGGGAAGGCTGCCTCGCCATCTTCGCAGCACCTCCAAATGCAGCATGCCCGCCACGCAACGACAGGCTTGCTTGGCGAGGGGAAGTCCGAAAGTTCGTAAGAGTGAAACGGGGACAATGACTGGCTGAGACACGCAGAGGCGAACGTGCTCGAAAGACGTAACCCGAGAAGTCTCGTCTCCCCACCTACCAGCTGAACCCTGCACCCACCCACACATACAAAGCGGGGCGAATAAGCATTTCCGACATTCAGCCTACAAATTGACGATTGATCACTTGTAAAAGCCTTACTTATTTCCTGTCTAGTTGGTTCTCCAGCTGCAATTGCGAAATCGCTTCTGCCTTTCCAAATTATCAGCACAAGTCTTAATACTCCCGAGTAATTAATCACTCGCATCCTCTTCTTAGCATCCCGCTACCTGCCAATCAACCAATTCCCATCTTCACACATTTTCGGACCTTTCTAGATAGTCTTGCCGCCTCCACGCCGTGCATGGCCCTCCAGCAGCACGATAGCGTTTCGTCAGCCTCGCACAATCCCCGCTCGAGCCATATCGGCCAAATCGCGTCCTCCTCGTTTCGTCGCGAGGCCGCTCGCACCTTCGAGACCATCGACCTCAACAAAGACGGAAAAATCTCCGCCCACGAGCTCGCAACTCTTCTATCCCGGCTGGAAAATGCTCCCGCTCCTGCTGCGTCGAAGCCTGGACTGTTCGGTAGTTTTTCGCTCGAGGAGGCGGCAGGCGGTGATTTGATTGGCTTCGCGGAGGAGGTAATTAGAGAGGCTGACGTGGACGGCGATGGAATGATCGATTTCGAGGAGTTTCTGCTCTCGGCGCGCGCAGGGCCGTCCCTGTTGGGCGAGTACTTCGTCTCAGTTCCATCCTCAGATTATGGTGAAGAGGAGGAATCAGAATCGGAGGGTGGAAGTGACTCAGAAGAGGACGTGAGGGAAGGGGATTTGTTCCGCGCGTTTGAAGTTTTTGATCGTGACAGCAATGGGGTTATTACTGCGGAGGAGCTACAGTTCGTCATAGGTGTTCTTAACGGGGATGATTTGACGATGGAAGACTGCAAACGGATGATAAAGAGGGTGGACACTAATGGGGATGGATGTGTGGATTACAATGAGTTCAAGACCATGATGGCTGGAATCTTCGACTGACTCTAGTATAGAGCTAGATATTGGATTGTTTTCATTCATTCAATGCTGACTGTATTTGCTTATCGAATAATGGTACGTGTATAAACAAATTGGACACCCAGGCAACCCCTAGCAGCCCACAGCCCCCCACCCAACGGATGCACTACACTCAGGGCGAGCCATGTGACTGGTTCTCTGCTGAGCCATCCTGAGCCTGCTGCTGATCATCCAGCCACACATGCCAGGCACATAGCTTTCTGCTCGCTGCCCTGCGCAGGTTGTTGCTACCGCCCTCCTCTCTTGCAGCAACGCAACTCCCTCCCAACTCTGTCCTGTGCGAAGCTTCTCAGTCGCCTCACAATGCACCCCTCTCACAGAGCGCTGATGAAGGCCACCGGCCGAAACGCGTACGCTCAGGTTTGAATGACAAACTTCTTACCTATTCATTCCCTACTAGCCTTAACTCAGCCTAGAGGAGAATAGGGCGAGTTAGGACCGTTGGATCCAAGTCGAAACTATCCCTTTAAGCTTCTCAGTCGCCTCACAATGCACCCTCTCACAGGACCACAAGACCCTGGCCTGTAACAGACAATCATATATATGCCTCCCATATTCTGCTTCAGTGTAGCAGCATTCCTGACTGTCTTCTTGACTGGTACCAGGCAGCTGAGTTTATAGCTCATGTTGCTCTGACTTGGCTGGTGCCGCGGCAGCTGCAGAGGTGTCTGTGCCTCCTGTCTCCTTTATAAGGTCATTCACGTTCCGCTCTAGCTCGTCAATGCGCGTGCCCATCTCATCGAGTGGTTTGGGATAAGTGGATTAAGAGAACCGAAAGAGAAGTGAAAGGGGATTGAGAGTGCAAGAGTGCGAGGCAGGGAAGAGGAGGGGGGAAAGGGGAGGAAATTGGGTGGAGAAAGAATGAAGAGTAGGGAGGGGGGCAAGCGGAGGATATTGGGTAGAGGTAGCAGACAGATAGGATGGAGAGAGGGGAGGATAAGAAGGGCAGAAATGAAGAATGAAGAAAAAATACGAAACAGTGCAGATAGAGGGAGAACAGAAGAGATAGAGAGGGGGCATGTTATGCAAGAGAGAGATAGGGAGAGAGTGAGTTAAGGATAAACAACGGGCAAGGCAGGAGAGAGGTGAAGAAGGAGAGGGTGATGAGCAAAAACGAACACGCCCAGCTGTAAACGACCAAAAAGCACATGGCATTGCGTGCAATGTGAATGGTGCACACGCGAGGGAGGTGGGCGGAAGAATAGGGAGGAAGTAAAACGTAGAGTGAAGGAGAGGGAGGAGAATAGGGGCAATGAGGGGCGGGAAAGCGGATATTCCTCGAGATGATAGTCTCGGACATGGTTTGAAAGCGAGCTTGCTGCAGGGCACAGGGGAAGAGAGCAGGTGGAGGGCGGGGAGAAACGGAAGGACAAAGATTGAAGAGAAGTACAATAGGGCTTCATTGAGTGCAGGTGGAGGAACACGATGGTAATTGATTGACTTTTGAGGCGCCTCAAAAGCCGTTTACTGAGTGCAGGTGGACGAACACAATGGCATGGAATGGAGACGCGGAACAGGGAGCAGAGAAGATGGATGAGAGGCGAGAATGATATAGAGAATGCAAGATGATGTGACTGGTTCACGGGACATGGAGCTGACTTTTGAGTCAACTCATGAGTCAGCTCCAGACATGGAGCCTTTCCATTTGCTGAAAGAGCGTTAGTTCGGAAATTGGGAATGCAGGATGCTGATTCGAGGGGTGTTGCGGGACATTAGCCTCACCATTTGCTGAAGAAGAGTTTGTACCTGCAAGTGAGACACACAGAGGAGCAACACACAGAGGGGAAACACAGAGAGGGGAAACACAGAGGGAAAACACACAGAGGGGAAACACACAGAGGGGAAACAAACAGAGGGGAAACACACAGAGATGACAAGAGAGAGGCAACACAGAGGGGCATAGAGACAGTGAGTGCAACGCAATGCATGGAAATCACACTGTACGAAGCACGATGCTATGTGAACTGTACATGCACATAGCATCCCGCACGAAGTCTTTTGAGAATTCTCACAAGAGTCACATTGTACACACACACACACACACACACACGCACGCACGCACGCACGCACGCACGCACGCACGCACGCACGCACGCACGCACGCACGCACGCACGCACGCACGCACGCACGCACGCACGCACGCACACACACACACACACACACACACACACACACACACATAGCACCACGCGCGAACAGCATCAAGTTTCTTCTCACATAGCACATAGCACCACATTGATTCTTCTCTACTCGAGTTGGATGCTCGAGTATCATCCATCCACACACCACATCTTTGCGAATCACATCACAGACCGCCCAATTCACTCCGTAAAGCATCACATGCACGCATGCAGGCGGCAGGCGTTGGTGTAACGAAACCAGCATAGAGGTGACGACAGAATGCAAGTAGGAGAATATCCATGTACAGATGTCCAAAATGCTGGTATCGAAACCAGCATAGAGGTGACAATCCGTGGAGCATCACATGCACGACTTGCAGGCGGACAGGCGTTGGTGCGAGGAAACCAAACCAGCATAGAGGTGACGACATGGGTGTTCTCCTACATGCACAGACGTCCAAAATGCAGATGCACGCATGGCATGGCACGGCATAGTATGGCATGGCACGGCATAGTATGGCATGGCACGGCATAGTATGGCATGGCACGGCATAGTATGGCATGGCACGGCATAGTATGGCATGGCACGGCATAGTATGGCATGGCACGGCATAGTATGGCATGGCACGGCATAGTATGGCATGGCACGGCATAGTATGGCATGGCACGGCATAGTATGGCATGGCACGGCATAGTATGGCATGGCACGGCATAGTATGGCATGGCACGGCATAGTATGGCATGGCACGGCACAGTATGGCATGGCACGGCACAGTATGGCATGGCACGGCATAGTATGGCATGGCACGGCATAGTATGGCATGGCACGGCATAGTACGGCATGGCACGGCATAGTATGGCATGGCACGGCATAGTATGGCATGGCACGGCATAGTATGGCATGGCACGGCATAGTATGGCATGGCACGGCATAGTATGGCATGGCACGGCATAGTATGGCATGGCACGGCATAGTATGGCATGGCACGGCATAGTATGGCATGGCACGGCATAGTATGGCATGGCACGGCATAGTATGGCATGGCACGGCACAGTATGGCATGGCACGGCATAGTATGGCATGGCACGGCATAGTATGGCATGGCACGGCATAGTATGGCATGGCACGGCATAGTATGGCATGTCATGGTATATAACGGCGCGGCACGGCATGGCATGGCATGGCATGGCACGGCATGGCATGGCATGGCATGGCATGGCATGGCACGGCACGGCATGGCATGGCATGGCACGGCATGGCATGGCATGGCATGGCACGGCATGGCATGGCATGGCATGGCACGGCATGGCATGGCATGGCATGGCACAAAGGCTGTGAGGTCTGCAACGTTGTGTGGCAGGCAGGAGACATCACGAGGCTGCAGTTTCAGTAGTTAGCGGAAAGATTCGGCAAAGTTGAACCCCTAGGCTCAAAGTTGTGAGGCAACTGACAAATGCTGTGAGGTCAGCAACGTTGTGTGGCGCTGCTGCTTCTGCCTGCGTCCCCCCCGTGGTGCCCTGTGACTGTGGATCCGACGCTGCTGCCGCGTTCCCCGAGGACTCCTGGGCGAGGGAGGGAGAACGAAAGGGGAATATTAGGGGATTTTTGAGGTGCGTCGAAAGGCGTCCCCCACGTGGTGCCCTGTGACTGCGGATCAGACGCTGCTGCCGCGTTCCCTGGAGAATCCTGGGAGCGAGAGGGGACGCGGAAGGGGGAGAAGGAGGGGGTAGGGGAGGCGGAGGGAGAGGAGGGAAGGAGGGGCAAGAGGGGAGGAAGGGAGGACGGAGGGACGGGAGGAGGGGAGGGGTTGAAGCAGGGGGAGGGCACGCAAATGGTGAACCACTGGTGTGTGTTTGTCATCCGGTGATTCTGGCTACGAGGTTAATAGAAGACTGCTCGCGGCTATGAGGTTAACAGAAGGGAGGTGGAAGGAGGGATGCTAATGCATGCGGCACGACCGCTCGGAGGGTATGTTCGACCTGGCATGATGGCGATTCATACCATGCTGTGACTGCGGATAGGGGATAGCACGATGACGCGGATAGAGGATAGCACGATGACGCGGATAGAGGATAACGCGATGACGCGGAATACGCCAAAAATCGCCGTCACAGTCTCAGGAAATTACGAGTTCCAGAAGCGCGGCCTACTAGTAATGTTAAGGAACATGAGAAACGTTTGGAGAGGGCGCAGCGGAAGAAGCGGAGTGCACCTACACGAGTGTCGAGATGGTGGAAAGGGAAGTGGTTTGTGAATCCCTAAAAAATGTATACGTTGGGAGAGGGCGCAGAGGTGTAATGAGGTTGTTTTTGAGACGTCTCAAAAACAACCTCATTAAAAAATGGATACGTTGGGAGAGGACGCAGCGGAAGAAGCAAAGTGGACCTACACTTGTGTCGAGATGGCGAAAAGAGAATCGACTCGCGAATCCCTAATGAACGTAAGGGCGGGTCAGGGAGCAATCGTTTTCTGGGAAGTTGCAGTACTGATCCCGATTTTGTTTTCTTGCGTGACAGATTGCAAAGCATGGGTGTGGGTAACATGCAGCACTTCGCGAAACCAGCAGCGCAAAGACTACTGCAGAATCGCCCCAGATCCAGAGAGGGAGATGGTTGGGGAGGATCTAGCAAAACTGCTGGTTTCGAGCGAGCTAGGTACAAATTCTAGGGAATGAACGCAACCATGTTGCCCTAATAATGTGCGAGGTGATAAGGTGTGACAAGCTAGGGTGCTGCATCCTAGCAGCGAGGCTACTATCGAGATGACTGTAACGGGAGTGTGTTGAAGCCGTGGTACTGTAGCAGAGCAAGCGGAGGCAGGAGAGCGAGAGAAGGAAAGCAAGAGAGAGCTCAAGAGGAGGGAGAAAGAGCACGAGAGAACGCGAGAGAGCGCGAAAGCTATGGGTCACGCTGCGTTTCAGCTGGTTCGTGCCGTAACCCTAACGGACACCTCTGGCAGCTCTCGCTCTTCTCCCAGTCCCCCGAGTAGCACCGCTCTCAGCCGCTTCCTCGGCCCCGCCGCGACGGCGACGGCGAGTCCGAGTCGCATTCTCTGCTGCACGCAATGGCGCTCCTCCATTCTCATTGGCTGCAGCGACGGCGCGCTGCTAGACTACCGCCCGGCAGGAGCGTCGGCATCGGCAGCAGCGGACCAATCCGCGCCTTCCGCGCCGCGTGTCGCGCCCGGTAGCGGCGGCGGCTATGCGCTGTTCGCGAGGAAGGACGGTTTCGCGCCGTCCGCGATTCTGCGACTAGAGATCGCGCTGCCGACAGCTTCTGCTGCGGCTTCCGCTAATGCGCCTGATAGTTCCGCCATCCCCGCCGCCGCCCCCGCCGTTTCCGCCGCTTCCGCCGCGTCCGGCGCTTCCGGGGCGGCGGGCGTGCTGATCGCGCTGGCGGACTGCGTGAGGCTGGCCCCGCTGCCCTCCTTGGAGCCGCTGACGTGTCTCCCGCGCACAGCTGGCGCCACGTCATTGGCGTGGGACGCGGAGGGCGGCGTGCTGTGCGTGTCGATCAAGAGGAGAGTGCTCGTGCTGCGGTTCGACGGTGGGTTAACGCAGGTTGGGAATGGTTCAATGCGGTGAGCAATGTTAACTTAGGAGTGAATTTAACGCTTGTAGGGGAAGGAGTAACATGGCCTGCTGTGCTGTGCGTGGCGATCAAGAGGAGAGTGCTCGTGCTGCGGTTTGATGGTGAGTGCGTGTGGGTTGGTGTGGGTTGTGAATGGTTTAATGCGGTGAGCAATGGTACTTCAGGGGTGAGTGATCGGCTCGGCATGCTGTGCGTGGCGATCAAGCGGAGAGTGCTGGTGGTGGGGTTTGACGGTCGGTTGATTAGGTTTGAAATGGTTCAAAGCGGTGACCAGTGGTACCGCTGCTTATCTCCTCCCTTCCTCACTCGTCCTCATGCCCTTCAGAGAGGAGCGCAAGTTCACGTGCCCAGACGCCCTCACAGCCCGTTTGTCTTTCACCTGCCCGTCATCCTTCCCTTATCAGAATCATTCTCTCTCATTCCCTCTCAGGCCATTCACCTTTCAAGGAGGAGCGCGAGTTCACCTGCCCAGACGCCCCACCTGCCCAGACGCCTCTCTCAGGCCGTTCATCCCATCCCCTCCCCTTCATCCTCCTTACCTGCCCAACTCTCTCCTTCTCTTCTCCTCCTTCAGGCCGTTCAGCTTTCAAGGAGGAGAGGGAGTTCACGTGTCCAGACGCCCCTCGCCTGCTCGCCCTGCCCTCTCCCACCACTCTCTGCGCCGCCACGCCCACCAAGTACCTTCTGCACCACATTCCACCGCCCGGCACCGCTGGCAGCGGCGGCTCGTGGCGGGACATGCTGCCGTGCGGGCAGGTGGCGCCTCCCAGCGTTGTGAAGCTGCCGCGTGGGGAGATGTTAGTCGGCAAGGTGAGGTGGTAGCAGTGGGGTAGTTGAGAAGGGGTTGGGAGTGGTGGAGGGACGGCTTGGACTTACAGGTCTGCCATCCCTGGCAGGCAGCAGCTTCTGGCTGCCATGCTAGCAGGAGGGGGGCTGTTGCATGTGTGGCAATGTGGGCTCGTGGCAGGACCTGCTGCCGTGGGGGCAGGTGGTGCCTCCCAGTGCCTCTTTTAAGAATTCTCAAAAGCAATGCTGCTTACCTTCCCTTTCCTTCCTCCCCTCCTTCCCTCTGGGTGCCTCCTCCTCTCCCCCCTCTTCTCTCCCCGCCATCAGGACAGCATTGGTTTATTCCTTGATGCCGCTGGTCGCCCCCTCCGCTCCCACGGCATCAACTGGTCGCGCCCGCCCTCCCACGTGGCTGTCATGCCGCCCTACGCCCTCGCCAAACTCCCCAACTATATCGAGGTGCGCCTGGCCTTCGTGACTCTACTGCCCTCCCTTCCTCCCTCTCACGACTTGCTGTCATGTTGTGCGCTTTTATGCCCGCCCGCCCTCCCACGTGGCTGTCATGCCGCTCTACGCCCTCGCCAAGCTCCCCAACTACATTGAGGTATGCCTTGCCATCACACTTCTCATTTGTCGTATCATGCCCTTGTATGCCCTCCACCGCCCTCCCACGTGGCTGTCATGCCGGCCCACGCCCTCGCCGAGCTCCCAAACTACATGGAGTATCGGTTCAAATGGTGGTGGGAGTGGAGGGGGTGGTGGTGCTGAGCGCAGCAGCAGGGTAGGCATGGTCATCTATCGAGCAATTCGTTTCCCTCACCCGACCTTTCTCCTCTGCTTTCCCGTTCTTCTAACCCTGCCTCCCCAGGAGCGCTCCCTGCTACCGGGCCATGCCTTGGTGCAAACTTCCCCTGCGGGAGCATGCAGCCCTCTCCTCTGTCTTCTCGCACTCTCTCTACCGCCAGTGACCTCTGTTTCCCTTCGCCCTCATGTTTCCCCCATCCCCCAGGTGCGATCCCTGCTCCCAGGGCACGCCTTGGTGCAAACCATCCCCCTGCGGGAGCATGCAGCCCTGTGGACCCCTCCCACTTTCCCCGCTGCCAGTACTGGCATTGAAGGCAGCAGCAGCAGGGCAGCAGGGCGGTCAGCCCGGGGTGTGTTTGCAGTGGCTGAGGAGAGTGTGTACATCGTCGCTCCTGTCTCCCTTGCTGCCCAGGTGCGTGCTGCTTAAAGGTTTGGTGTGGTGCGTTGCGGTGTGCTGTGCTGTGCTGTGCTGTGCTGTGCTGTGCTGTGCTGTGCTGTGCTGTGCTGTGCTGTGCTGTGCTGTGCGGTACCAGTGTATCAGCATCAGCCCGGGGTGTGTTTGCAGTGGCAGAGGAGAGTGCGAACATTGTAGCTCCTGTCCCCCTTGCCGCCCAGGTGCTGCTTAGAGGTGTGGTACGGTGTGGTGTGGTGTGGTGTGGTGTGGTGTGGTGTGGTGTTGTTTGGAGCGTTTGTTTCACAACTCCAAAAGCAGTGATGCAGAAGCAGCTTCAAATCCGTACACCCAGCGAATGTCTTAATTACTTGCAATGAAATGTACCGTCCGTGTTTGCCCTGCCTGCTCGCTCACTGCGATGCAGATCAGCCAGCTTGTGAGTGAAGGGCTGTTTAGAGAGGCGCGCTCTCTCCGTGTGATGTGAGGGGCTGGACGATGAGGAGGGTGTAATGTCCTTCGCTTATCTCTCAACACCCGTCCGTTCTCTACTTGCCTTCCCTGCTCACCTCACCGCAATGCAGATCGACCAGCTAGTGAGCGAGGGGCTGTTTGAAGAGGCGCTCTCTCTGTGTGATGTGAGGGAATGGACGATGAGCAGGGTCTGAAGTTCTTCACTTATCTCTGAACACCCATCCGTTCTCTACTTGCCTTCCCTGCTCACCGCAATGCAGATCGACCAGCTAGTGAGTGAAGGGCTGTTCGAAGAGGTGCTCTCCCTGTGTGAGGGGCTGGATGGAGGATGGGAAGACTGTTAGTTCCACCTGTTTGATACCCATTCCTTCTCCACTGCCCCTGCTTGTTGTCATGCAGATCGACCAGCTAGTGAGTGAAGGGCTGTTCGAAGAGGCGCTCTCCCTGTGTGAGGGGCTGGATGGAGGATGGGAAGACTGTTAGTTCCACCTGCTTGATACCCATTCCTTCTCCACTGCCCCTGCTTGTTGTCATGCAGATCGACCAGCTAGTGAGTGAAGGGCTGTTCGAAGAGGCGCTCTCCCTGTGTGAGGGGCTGGATGGAGGATGGGAAGACTGTTAGTTCCACCTGTTTGATACCCATTCCTTCTCCACTGCCCCTGCTTGTTGTCATGCAGATCGACCAGCTAGTGAGTGAAGGGCTGTTCGAAGAGGCGCTCTCCCTGTGTGAGGGGCTGGATGGAGGATGGGAAGACTGTTAGTTCCACCTGTTTGATACCCATTCCTTCTCCACTGCCCCTGCTTGTTGTCATGCAGATCGACCAGCTAGTGAGTGAAGGGCTGTTCGAAGAGGCGCTCTCCCTGTGTGAGGGGCTGGATGGAGGATGGGAAGACTGTTAGTTCCACCTGTTTGATACCCATTCCTTCTCCACTGCCCCTGCTTGTTGTCATGCAGATCGACCAGCTAGTGAGTGAAGGGCTGTTCGAAGAGGCGCTCTCCCTGTGTGAGGGGCTGGATGGAGGATGGGAAGACTGTTAGTTCCACCTGTTTGATACCCATTCCTTCTCCACTGCCCCTGCTTGTTGTCATGCAGATCGACCAGCTAGTGAGTGAAGGGCTGTTCGAAGAGGCGCTCTCCCTGTGTGAGGGGCTGGATGGAGGATGGGAAGACTGTTAGTTCCACCTGTTTGATACCCATTCCTTCTCCACTGCCCCTGCTTGTTGTCATGCAGATCGACCAGCTAGTGAGTGAAGGGCTGTTCGAAGAGGCGCTCTCCCTGTGTGAGGGGCTGGATGGAGGATGGGAAGACTGTTAGTTCCACCTGTTTGATACCCATTCCTTCTCCACTGCCCCTGCTTGTTGTCATGCAGATCGACCAGCTAGTGAGTGAAGGGCTGTTCGAAGAGGCGCTCTCCCTGTGTGAGGGGCTGGATGGAGGATGGGAAGACTGTTAGTTCCACCTGTTTGATACCCATTCCTTCTCCACTGCCCCTGCTTGTTGTCATGCAGATCGACCAGCTAGTGAGTGAAGGGCTGTTCGAAGAGGCGCTCTCCCTGTGTGAGGGGCTGGATGGAGGATGGGAAGACTGTTAGTTCCACCTGTTTGATACCCATTCCTTCTCCACTGCCCCTGCTTGTTGTCATGCAGATCGACCAGCTAGTGAGTGAAGGGCTGTTCGAAGAGGCGCTCTCCCTGTGTGAGGGGCTGGATGGAGGATGGGAAGACTGTTAGTTCCACCTGTTTGATACCCATTCCTTCTCCACTGCCCCTGCTTGTTGTCATGCAGATCGACCAGCTAGTGAGTGAAGGGCTGTTCGAAGAGGCGCTCTCCCTGTGTGAGGGGCTGGATGGAGGATGGGAAGACTGTTAGTTCCACCTGTTTGATACCCACTCCTTCTCCACTGCCCCTGCTTGTTGTCATGCAGATCGACCAGCTAGTGAGTGAAGGGCTGTTCGAAGAGGCGCTCTCCCTGTGTGAGGGGCTGGATGGAGGATGGGAAGACTGTTAGTTCCACCTGTTTGATACCCATTCCTTCTCCACTGCCCCTGCTTGTTGTCATGCAGATCGACCAGCTAGTGAGTGAAGGGCTGTTCGAAGAGGCGCTCTCCCTGTGTGAGGGGCTGGATGGAGGATGGGAAGACTGTTAGTTCCACCTGTTTGATACCCATTCCTTCTCCACTGCCCCTGCTTGTTGTCATGCAGATCGACCAGCTAGTGAGTGAAGGGCTGTTTGAAGAGGCGCTCTCCCTGTGTGAGGGGCTGGAGGATGGGGAGGGGGAGGAGGAGGAAGGGGCGAGGGACGGGGAGGAGGAGGGGAGTGCCCAACCAGGGAGGCGCATGGACTTGGTTCGACTGCGGTGAGTCGAACGCCAAATAACGTGCATGCTTTTTAGGCGCCTTAAAAGCCGTATCTTGTCTCGGTGTTGAGCCGCTTCATAAGGAGGGGAGCGGGCAGCCAAGGAGGCGCATGGGCTTGGCTCGACTGGCATGTGAGTCCAAAGTCACGTCACATGCCAGTCGAACCAAGTCCATGCATGCATGCATGCGTGCATTCCTTTTGAGACATCTCAAAAGTAGTCATGTGTGCATTCCCATCCCAGCACACATGATGACGTATCCATTGCATTCTATGCTGCTGTTGTGCTCCCTTTTTCAACTCATGACATGCAATTTCTTGATTGCCCTTTTCTTGTGCTACCTTTTTTGTATGATTTTCCAAAGTGACTCAATCTGGTCCAGTACACTCACGGATGTCCCTTTTCCCTCTTCAATTCAATCTGAACATAGTGTTGTCCTCCCTTCCGCACCCTTCCCTCCCTCTCCACTTCTCCCATCTCCACCTCTCTCTCCCCTGTCCCAGCCTGGCCCCCCGTCTCCTCTCTCCTCTCATCTGGCGGATTTGATCGCGCCATACAGCAACTCGCCCCTGCCTTGCTGCTCCTTCTTTCTTGCTAGTTGTTACCATGTATCATGCTCTCCCCTCCCCTCTCCCCCATCCCCACCATTCTCCCCTGCCCAGCCTATCCCACCATCTCTTCTCATCGGGTGAATTCGACCGGGCCATGCAACAACTCGCTCTGCTCCTCGCTCCCCCTTTTCTTTAATCTAGCTATCATAAAATCATTCTCTCTCTTGTCCGTCTATCTTCTCTCCTTCTCCCCTCCTACCATCTCCCCCACCCAGCCTAGCCCACCATCTCTTCTCATCGGGTGAATTCGACCGGGCCATGCAACAACTCGCTCTGCTCCTCGCTCCCCCTTTTCTTTAATCTAGCTATCATAAAATCATTCTCTCTCTTGTCCGCCTATCTTCTCTCCTTCTCCCCTCCTACCATCTCCCCCACCCAGCCTAGCCCACCATCTCTTCTCATCGGGTGAATTCGACCGGGCCATGCTACAACTCGCTCTGCTCCTCGCTCCCCCTTTTCTTTAATCTAGCTATCATAAAATCATTCTCTCTCTTGTCCGTCTATCTTCTCTCCTTCTCCCCTCCTACCATCTCCCCCACCCAGCCTAGCCCACCATCTCTTCTCATCGGGTGAATTCGACCGGGCCATGCAACAACTCGCCCTCTGCTCCTCGCCTCCCCTCCTTCCAGCCCTCTCGCTCTTCCCCTTCCTCCCCTCCCTCCCCTCCTCCATCCTCCTCTCCCTCGCTGCCTCCTCCTCCCCCTACCCTCCCTCCTTCCCCTCCTCCTCCCCCTCCTCCCCCTCGTACCCTCTCTCCCCCTCTTCCACCCCATTGGCTGCTGCTGCTGCTCCACCACCACTGGAAGTGCGATCGCAATCGGATCTGAAATCCAATGCAGAATCAAATCTTGTAACCGGGCGGCAGCGCAAGCTGGCGTTGCTGTCTCTAGTAAGTTTTCTGGCAGAGAAGCGAGCAGCGGCTGTAGCAGCAGCAAAAGCAACAACAGCAGCAGCAGCAGCAGCAGCAGCTACAGCTACAGCTGCTGGTGTGAGGGTTGCTGGTGCCACGGCAACATCAGCAGCAGCTGCAAGCGAAACAGCTGAGATTGAAGAAAAAGGAGCAGAGGAGCAGCAGCGCATGTCAGCAGCCGAAGCAACAGCAGTGGTGATCGACACTTACCTCTCCCTCGCCCTCCAGTCCCTCACCCCCCTCCCACCACCATTCCCCACCTCCTCCACACTACCTGCTCCAACTTCCACAGCAGAACCATCATCAGCAGCCGCTACAGCAGAAGCAGCAGCAGCAGCAGCAGCAGAGGCAGAAGAGAGGGCTGTCCTGCATGAATCACCCCCGGACTCTCCCGAGACTGCTTTTGACTTCAACCATTCGCTCTTCTCCTCGTCTGGCCCTCTCACTTTCGGGGCACGTCCCAGTCCCCCTCCCCCTGCTGCCAGCACCAGCAGCTACAGCACTCACAGCACTAAGGGAAGTGTCACCAGCAGCAGCAGCAACAGCAGCAGCAGCTACAACACTCACAGCTCTCTTGCTAGTAACAGCAATAGTGGCATTGGTACCGCCACCGCCACCATAGACAGCAGCAGCTTCAGCAGCAGCAGGCAGGGAACGAGTGGTGGTGTTGGTGGGGGGTCATTCGAAGGGCCGCTGGATGCTGCCTCTGTGTCTCGTGCTGCTGCTGCTGTCACTGCTGCCGCTTCTGCCGCTCCTGCTGGGACTGCTGCAATAGCGTCGCAATCAGCACCTTCCGAGTTCTCCCCTGCAGCGGTTGATCGCTTCGTTGCAGCTCTCTCCACGTCAGCGACGGATGTTGCTGACTCAGCGGACCCGATGCAGCCGCTTCGATCGGCGCTGCATGCGTTGTGGGCGGCAGACAACTTCTGCCACGTCAGCACTGTGGAAGCTGCGCTGCATGCGGAGGACAGGTGGCGCGACGTGATTCGATTCCTGTTCTTCAAGGGATTGCACAGAGAGGGTCTTGTGTTCTTAAGAGAGATGCTTAAAGGCGGTGGAGTGGGAACGGAGTGGGAGGGGGAAGAGGGGGCAGAGGCTGTGGGAAGGAGAAAGGGTGAGGGAGAAGGAATGGGGGAAGAAGACGAAGGTGTTGGTGGTGATAGTGGTTGTGATGGTGGTGGAGTTGATGGTACGAGGGAGAGGAGGAAGGATGCTGATGTGGTAGAGAACTGCTTCAAGGAATACGTGGAGCTACTGGGTCAGCAGCCACGTCAGCAGCCGCTCGTGCTGGAGGCGCTGACGTGGCGCTTTGAGGACGACCCGACAGCAGCGCTGGCCCTGCTCACGTCGCTGCGGCACCCCCCTCCCAACGGTATACATGCGCCGTTCTTGAACCTTTCCAAGCCTTTCCAAACCTTTCCAAACCTTTCTCAGACCTCTTCATAAATGTTCCGCCAGTTATGAGGCGAAATTGCAGGTGCTGGCGCTGCTCACATTGTTGCGGCACCTGCCGCCCAACGGTATGCGTGCATGTGCTGCGGGAGTTATGCTGCTCCCTCAGATTATGTGTGGCCTCGCTCATGCAGCTTCCCTGTCATCCCCTCTCCCGCTTTTTTGAGTCGCCTCAAAGCCATGTTCCCCCGCCTCCCTCACTCTGCCATACTAGTGATTTTTGAGAATTATCAAAAAGCCTCCCTCACTCCGCCATGCTCTCTCTCACCTCACTGCCTCCTTCCTTGAGCACCCTCTTAGAGCAAACCGCCCAGGCCATGGGCGAGGGGGGTGGCGGGTGGGGCCTTCTTCTTTCTGTCATCTCCCACTCATACTGCTGCCTGACCTCCCTCTCCCCATCTCCACCCCTCCCCCTGCCCTCTCCCTCCCCATCAGACCTGGTGCTCTCTCTCATCCGTCAAGTGGCCCCTCACCTCAGTGCGTCCTTCCACGAACACCTCTTGGAGCAGACCGCTTAGGCCCCCCTTCGCTCCCTTCATGTCCCCCCGTGTTCTCTGCCTGTCCCCCACCACTTCTCACCACTTCCCACCCCATCAGACCTGGTGCTCTCTCTCATTCGTTAGGTGGCTCCTCACCTCAGTGCGTCCTTCCTCGAACACCTCTTGGAGCAAACCACTCAGGCCATGGGAGAGAGGGGTGGAGGTTCGGGGCTGATTTCTGCCTTCCTGCCCTCATGCTGCTGTCCTGTGGTCCCCTCTCCCCTCTCCCCCCCCATCAGACCTGGTGCTCTGTCTAATCCGTCAAGTGGCCCCTCACCTCAGTGCGTCCTTCCTCGAACACCTCTTGGAGCAAACCGCCCAGGCCATGGGCGAGGGGGGCGGAGGGGAGGGCGTGGGAGAAGGCGAAGGGGAGGGGGAGGAGGAGGAGGAGGAGGGATCCGGAGAGGGTTGGAGGGGCAGCAGTGGCAGCAGCGGTGGTGGTGGGAGGAGCGGGAGAAGGAGTGGGGAGGGCGGACGGCGGTGGAGTAGCAGCAGTGGAGTTGGTGCGTCTGGTGGGGGTGGGGAGGTGCAGGATGTGGGAGCAGCAGCATCACAGCTACAGCTAGACCTGGTGAGTCTGTGCCTTTTGAGGTGGAGTGGAGTGGAATGGAGTGGAGTGGAGTGGAGTGGAGTGGAGTGGAGTGGAGTGGAGTGGAGTGGAGTGGAGTGGAGTGGAGTGGAGTGGAGGGTGTTTCGCGCAGCTTGTTCACATCTCCTTAGCCTCTCCTTTGCATCTATCTATGGTACGAATCCGTCTTACACATCTCTTGTACCTAAATCCCATACCTCTCCCACATATCTCCTCCCCTCCCATACCTCTCCTATACATCTCCTCCCCTCCTGTACTGTACCTCTCCTGTTGTTCTTCCGTACCTCAGGTTCGGCTCAGCCTTCACCGGGTCAAAGCGGAGCTCCGGCAATCAAAAGCTGCCACGTCAGCAGCAGAGCGCCCTACTGTGATTGGTCCAGAGAGGGCGAAGCTAGCAGCTGTGTTGCAACGGATCAGGCTGCGGCTCATTCCAGAGGTGAGTTGGTGTGGTGCAGTGCAGTGTGATTAGGTGAGGTGAGGTGATACTGCTGCTGCTGCTATGTCTCATCCCACTCATGGATTCCCGCCTCCCTCTCTGCCCCTCCCTCCCTGCCCCACCCTCCCTGCCCCTCCCTCTCTGCCCCTCCCTCCCTGCTCTTCCCTCCAGGTGCTGCAAATGCTCCCTCCAGACTCCCTCTTTGAGGAGAAGGCCTCTCTTCTCCTGCGCCTCCTGCTGCACACCCACGCCCATCCACCTGCCCATGCATCTAGCCATTGCCCATGCACCTAACTGTGCTGTGGCGCTGCTGGTGCTGTGTTTCATCCCACTCATCAATCCCCCCCTCCCTCCAGGTGCTTCAAATGCTCCCTCAAAACTTCCTCTTTGAGGAAAAGGCCTCCCTCCTCCTGCGCCTCTTGCTCCACACCCACGCTCATCCTCCTGCCCATGCCACTGCGGCCGCACCAACGGCAACAGCAGCAGCAGGAGGAGCACCGGGAGGAGCAGCAGCAGCAGGTGCAAGAATGCCAATGCGTGCAGCAGAAGCGGCAGCAGCAGCAGTGGAGGCGGTGGGGGGGCGGGATGCGCTGCTGTGGATGGTGCTTGTGCTCAACTCCAGGAAGGTACGATGCCTTATTGCATGCAAGTCTCATATGCGATGCCAGGAAGGGCTGCGGCAGACAGAGCAGGCTGTGGGCGCCGGTGGGGATGCGCTGCTGTGGATGGTGCCGAAACCCAACTTTTATTACGTGTGCTCTGGGTGGTGCTTGTGCTGTACGCCAGAAATCTGCGCACAGGTTCACCAGGACTAGCTGTAGCCCTTGTGCTCATGAGCTGTCAGAAGCAGACAGGTGGGCTGCATAGGCCTTATTTCCATCAACTCTTGCTGTATTAGGACAACGAGACAAACTCCATGAAAGACTGGTGGAAAGGAGCCTGGTTGCGCGCCAGCTTAGAACGTTGTTACGAGAGCCAGTGTGGATAAAGAACTCACTAAAGAATCAGGAACATTGCCAGAAATGACTTTTGAGTCGACTCAAAAGTCTCCTAAAAACTCATTGAAGAATCAGGAACGTTACCAGAAATCTGCACTCAGACTCACCAGGTGTAGCTGTAGCCCTTGTGCTCATGTCTAGCAGTCGATGGGGATGCTCTGCTGTGGATGGTGCCACGTAATAAAAGCTGAGTTTTGAGACGTCTCATAACCCAACTTGTATCACGTGTGCTGTCGATGGTGCTTGTGCTGTACGCCAGAAAGGCATGACGCCTGCTTGTGGTGCAATGTTTTATTGCTCCCCCACCTCTCCTCTCCACTCCTCTCCTCTCCACTCCTCTCCACTCCTCTCCACTCCTCTCCTCTCCACTCCACTCCTCTCCTCTCCCTTCCTCCTCCCCAACCCCCTGAGCAGCTGAACTAGCCCCTGCACTGCATCTCCATCTGCGACCAACTCTTTTCCTCTCCCCCCCTTCCCTGAGATATCCAAGTCCCCCCCGTATTCTCTCCTTTCCTCCTTCCCCAACCGCCCTAAGCAGCTGAATCAGCCCCTGCACTGCATCTCCATCTGCGACCAACTCTTCTCCTCTCCGCCCTCGCGCCCATCCGCCGCCTGCCTCTCTCACCAGCCTTCTCCCACCCCTCCCTCCTCCTTCTTACCCTTCATCTCCCCTCCTATGCCTCCTTCTCCTCCGTCCACCACCACAACCACCACTACCACCACCACCACCTCATCCTCTTCCTCCTCTTCTCATTCCCAGATTCCTGCGCTCATCCCTCTCCTGCCTCCCTTCTCCTCTTCCTCCATAACCGCTTTCCAATCCACTCCCACCGCTCCTGCCACCGCCGCCACTGCACAAGCACAAGCACAAGCACAAGCAACAGCGGCAGCAGCAGTGGGAGGGGAAACAGGAGGAGCAGCAGCAGGAGCACCAACAGGAGGAGCAGCAGCAGGAGCACCAACAGGAGGAGCAGCAGCAGGAGCACCAACAGGAGGAGCAGCAGCAGGAGCACCAACAGGAGGAAGAGGAGGAGAAACAAAAAGGGTTGCTAGGGAGGAGGCTAGTCCTGATGTGGGAGGGAGCAGCTGTAGCAACTCTAGCGCTCTTCTTACTGCTTCCACGCCCCACCAAGTGCTGCTGCGGGTGCTGCTGCTGTCTGACGTGGCGCTGACTCAGTTTGCCGCCCACTTTGGGAGGATCTACCCCAAAAGTCAAGGGGAGGGCGAGGAGGGGAAGCAGGGAGAGGAAGGAGTGGAGAGGGTGGATGGAGGGGGGGGTTCAGAAGGCCGAAAGGAAGAAACAACGGCAGAGGCACCAGCAGAAACAGCAGCTGAAGCAGCAGCAGAAGACGCAACAGCAAGGGCGATTGGTGCAGAGAGGAGGGGAAAGAGGCTAGCTGTGATAGCAGATGTGGAAGGGGAGGGGGGGGGGGACAGCGAGGGCAGCAGCAGCATTGAGTCTTCTGTTCCGGTCTCCTCAACCTTACAGGGCCGCGCGGGTGTGACAGAGAGCAAGGGGGAAGCAGGAGAAGCGAAGCTAGCGTTTGATGTGGTTGGGAGGCGAGTCGGGTGGAACAGGTGGGGGTTGAGGGAGGGAGTGATGGTGGAAGCAGCTTTGGAGGTGATGGAGAGGCGGTGGGCTATGGTTGAACCTTTTGAGGCACTGCCCATGCTACCAAGCGACGTGCCGTTGCAGGTAGGATACCGTATGAATGATTCGCTTGGGTCGTTGTGGTGGCAGTGCATGTGCGAAAAGCACAGCACAGCACATGGTTGTCACCCATCAGCGGGGGAGGTGCTGGAGAGGCGGTGGGCTATGGTTGAACTTTTCGAGGCCTTACACATGCTACCGCACAATGTCCCGTTACAGGTATGAGATATGACTTAAATGGGGCAGTTAACTCATCCCCACCCTCACCTGCACCCCCACCCAACCTAAACCTGTGTTGCCATACCTAGGGGTAGGTAGTGCTGCGGGCGGGCACGAACAGCGGAGGAACGAGCTGGTCTACTTGATTTTGTTTTTAAAGAATTAAAAAAAAAAAAAACAGACTTTGAGGAGTCTCAAAAACCAGACTTTTGAGAATTCAAAAAAAAAAAAAAAAACCAGGACTTTTGAGAATTCTCAAAAAACAGACTCGGGGTAGGTAGTGCTGCGGGCGGGCACGAGCAGAGGAGGAACGAGCTGGTCTACTTGAATTAGAACCATACTTGTTCTTCTCTCTCTGCTTACCTATCAACCCCACCCCCAGAGTGTGCTGCCGTATTTAGAGGCGGTGCTGCGGGCGGGCAGCGAGCAGCGGAGGAACAGTGCTGTGGTGAAGAACCTGAGGAGGAGCGAGAACCTGCAGGTGAGCGGTGCAGTGCGGTTGGTGAGGGGTGCAGTGGGGCTGGTGAGTGTTGCTTCGTGCTTCGAGGTGGAACAGTGCTGTGGAGATAAGAATCTCAGGTGGGGCGAGAACCTGCAGTGAGCGAGGGTGTAGTGGGGCTGGTTTGAGTGAGGGGTGCAGTGCGGTTGGTGTGTGTGAGGGAAGTGGATCATGCACTGCAAGGGATGGGGATAGGGAGATTCAGAAGCGGTGCAGAGGAGAAATGGGGCAATGGTGAGAAAACAAGGAGTGAATAGAGTGGGAGGGGTGGGGTGGTGTGGGGAGGAGTTGCAGCCTACGAGAGGTACAGCTACAGCTTGTATGCATAGGAGCAGGAAATCGGGCAGGTAACAAATACATGAAGTGTCGTGTGCTATCTACTCTGTCCCTCATTCCATCCTCTCTGTTCTCCTCCTCACACTCCCTCTCTTCCTGCACTTGCTTCACCCCTCCGCCCCGCTTTTCTGTCTTCCCTCCCTGACTTCCTCCCTTTCTCTTTCACCCCATCCCCATCCCGTCACTTTCCCCCCTTCCTTCGCCTTTACACGCACAGCTCCGGGAGGAGTTGGCAAATGGAAGGAAGCGCCACGTCAGCATCACGGGGGACCGGCTGTGCGCCATCTGTCGCAAGCGCATTGGAGGGAGCGTGTTTGCCGTCTATCCGGGCGGCACACTGGTACATTTTGTCTGCTTCCAGCACCACCAGATGCAACTGCCTGCTGCCGCTGGTCCGTGATTAGAAAGGCAATTCAGTTGCATGTAGGGTAATTTGTAACATGTCTGCTTCCAACACCACCAGATGCAGCTGCTGCCTGCCGCGGTGGGACCATGATGAAGAGGCAGTTGCTTTCAGGGTACCGGTACTTGATCTTCAAATGTGTACCATACCTGTTATAAAAAGAATAGGAGATAAGTGGGGCTCTTATGTAATTTCTTTCTACCCCAAAAATGGTATAACTTCTATCTTGCGTCAAGTTCGTTCTCTTTGTAGCTGTACCATTTTGCTCACAAGAAACAACTTGTGGTTGGTTTGGTGGGGTTGCACGTTTTCGCTAATCCTTGAGGGTATGCCGAATGATGACGGTTCCTTCAATTCCGGTAGGTTGCAGAGCGATTTGCAGTTTGGCAGTACGATGGAGCGGTGCGGTGAGATTTGTATTCTTCAGCCCTGCTCCACTCTCCCGATCTTCTTGCCCAGACCGATCAACACCTGCCAGCACTGCTTGTACCGTTTTTCGTACTAATCAGTAGCCCGACTGCTCTTATCCCTCTTTCTCCTCGACTTGACTCTACACGTGCGGAATCTTCCTAGTTTTATATCCCACCCGCCATTCCACAAAAGGCCGCACGTTCCAACCGTCTCCTGTCTTTTGAAAAGCTGATAGCCAGTCAATCGCAAGCTGTCTACGTCGTCGTTTTTCCGTAGGAGCGTTGTTTCGCACCTTTTTCTTCCTGTTCGCCCGGCGTTCTTTTACCTTCGCGTGCGGTTTCGCCGGGAGACTCCAGACGCGCCAAGATGGCGACCAAAGTGCAGCGGATTATGACCCAGCCCATTGTGCGTGCTAAAACTCTAGGTGTCTCCGAGTATTTCTAAAACTTGCCTAGAGAGATCTAAGGAAAGTGTAGTGGATTAAGGCGAATTCCTCTGTGCGAGCTACTGCTCGTCGGGCTAAAGATCCGTTCTTGTGGTCGGGATTGTAGCGTTCTTCGCCGATTGCATCAACCAGTCAGCCATTCCTTCAATGTTGCCGCTTTTTATCTTGTTCGGAATTTTAGATTTGTTTACGGCATAACTGGGTTATCAGACGTCATTCCTCGAGAAAATCATTCATCGCATTGAGGGTTCCACTACCCCCCAAGTCTGAATTTTGTCTCATTTTTCTCTTTCGTCTCACTCCATGTCTCTCTGGGTTCTCACGGCCTCGTTTCTTATCATCGTTTCTCTCGTCTAATAACGTTCTTATTCTTCCCCTCCCTTCTCTCCGTACCCCTTCTTCCCCACCACCCCCCACCCCCCTCCCGCCTCCCCCCTCCCCCCCGTTTCCACCCGTTATCCCCTTTCTCTCTGTCCCTGTCGCTTGTGCCTATCTGTACATTGGCGCGTCGCGCGCAATTGTCGTCGCGGGCTTGACGTCTTCAGAACTTGATATTCCGATTCCTACAAAGTGTGAGTACGGCTTTTCTTTTCTGTTCCGGGCAGCTGCTCTCCTCTCTCCGTGACCGTACGATAACGGCTGGCTCCGTGCACCTTTTTTTTTTTCGTCTCCGATTGGCCAATTAGGGCACGGCGTAAATTGACAAACGTCAGGGTTGAAAGTGTGTTTTCGAGACGTATAAAAAATACATTTTTGGCACGGCTCAACTTGACAAAGGTTAGGGTTGCGTGCAATCGGTCGCCCTCCGGATTGGTTCGGCTAGAGCTGAGTGTTCACTCAAATGCTAGTGTTTTCTTTATCCCTAGTGTTGGCTCGCGGGGTGGAGGAATTGGGTATCGGTTTGCAGGGATTGGCTTTAGGGTCACGTTTTGATCTGAACTTGGATACAGATTGTTATAGGTTGCGAAACCGATGCTCTCGCTGCGACCATGAAGAGGAGTTTGCTTAGGGTGCCAACAAAAATTCTTCTCTTTTCTCCTGGGTGTCTCCGAGAAAACGCGAAAGCGTTTAACTCCGTCCTTGTCTCTTTCCCTCTTGCATCCATTGTGATAATTATTTCTCACAGCCTCCCTCTGCGCTGACCACCATCCCATCTCTCCCCCCTCTCTGTGTGGTGCTTGCTTCTGGTGTGTCTGATTGGCTGTCCCCATCGTGTTGGCCGCTCTGTCTCTGCAGAAATCGCGTATTCAGATCTGGCTGTATCAGCAGAAGGACACGCGGATCGAGGGGAGAATCATTGTGAGTAGTAGACACCCCGAGCCACCCCTCTGCAGACCCTTAGCGCACCCACTTTCTTTCGAGTCGACTAAAGGACACACGGATCCATGGGAGAATCATTGTGAGTAGTGTACACACACACCGTGTCTTTTGAGTCGCCTCAAAGGTCACCCCTTTTGAGTCGAACCAGAATGCATGGGTCGACTCTAAATTCGCGGATTGACGCTCACAATGACGCGCGGATCGAGAGACCAATCATTGTGAGGAGTGGAGTGGATGAATGGACCCATACCACCATGAGCAACCCCTCTGCAGCAGACCCATTTGCACGCCCATTTGCTGATGGCGAGACCACTCCTTAATGAGCTGTCGCAATATTTAGCGTACTTCTTCGAGTGTGCTTTTATTGCACTTCCTTGCAGTCCCTCGTTGCACTATCTCGCACCTTCCGTCCATAACCCTTCTCAATTCAACCCCTCCTTCACTTCACACCTCTCTCGTGTGGCTCATGCCTTGGCCTTGCTCGTGCCGTGCTCCCTCTCATGCCTTGCCCTTTCTCATGCCTTTTCGAAATTGAATCATGCGATACAATGTGTGTCACGGCTTTGAGAAGTACATTGTTACGAGGTGACTTTTGAGTCGACTCAAAAGTCATCTCAAATTTGGTGCTTGAAAATCCGAGATGACTTTTGAGTCATCTGGTGCAAAACGGAGACCTCTCTTATGTGGCCCCTCATCCCGCCCTTTTTCCGTCTTCCCATTGCATGTATATGCTCCAATTCCCATCCGCCCCTTTCAGGGTTTCGATGAGTACATGAATCCAGTGCTTGAAGATGCAGAGGAGGCGACCTCTCTCATCTCATATAGCCTCTCACCCTCTCTCCACTCTTATCCACTCTCGTGTCTGCCTTGGTCCATCTCAGGGATTCGACGAGTACATGAATCTGGTGCTGGAGGATGCAGAGGAGATTTCCATGAAAAAGCAAACCAGGAAGCCACTTGGTATGTTACTCCCTTTCCACTCAAGCGCACCGTACTCAACCGCACCCCACTTGCCCTACCGCAACTCGCACCTCTCTCGTCTCATCATTGCACTCCACATATGGGCGTGCCGAAATCATTGCACCCTGGTTCTTTTCTAGGAAGGAGCACAAAATGGAACAAGCTTGTTGTTTTGTTTGTTGTTTTCCACCCTCTCCTCTCTCTGGTTTTTCTTTTTGTTCCTTGCATCCCATCTCGTCTCCCCGCTGCTCCTGCTGCCTTCTGTTCCCCTTTTCTCCTGCCCTCTCCTCCTTCTCATCCACTCTTCCACTCCCCCCTGCTCATCCCCACTGCTCCTCCCACCTACTCCTCCCCTCTGCTCCTCCCCACTCCTCCTTTCCCCAGGCCGCATATTACTGAGAGGAGACAACATCACGCTCATGATGAACACGTGAGTGCCTTGCCCTGCTTGTAAGTTGTAACTTTCTGTAGTCGACCCATCCCATCCCATCCCATCCCATCCCATCCCATCCCATCCCATCCCATCCCGTCCCATCCCATCCCATTCCATTCCTCCACACAGTAGAATGTGCATCCACATCATCCCCCCCTCCATTGGCCTCTTCCCCACACCCTTTTCGCCCCACTCTCTCTGACTGCCGATAGTATGTCTCCATTTTCGTGGGCATGGTTACTGATGTGTAATTATCATATCTGACTTTGTTTGGGGTTTCTATACAAGGCTAATAACCGAACCTGTGTGACTGCACTTGAAGCAACAGAAGCCAAAATGGTTGATTCGAACAGGTGCAGGTGGTTGCTGGTGCAGGTGGTTGCCGGTGCAGGTGGTTGCTGGTGCAGGTGGTAGCTGTTGCAGGTGGTAGCTGTTGCAGGTGGTAGCTGTTGCAGGTGGTAGCTGTTGCAGGTGGTAGCTGTTGCAGGTGGTAGCTGTTGCAGGTGGTAGCTGTTGCAGGTGGTAGCTGTTGCAGGTGGTAGCTGTTGCAGGTGGTAGCTGTTGCAGGTGGTAGCTGTTGCAGGTGGTAGCTGTTGCAGGTGGTAGCTGTTGCAGGTGGTTGCTGGTGCTTGCATTGCCAAGGGAGGGCCACTGGTCACCTCTCAACCCTCTCTCCAAACCTGTCCTGCCTTTGTCTGCGTGTGGAAACCCCTCTTGTTCCATCCAGGGGAAAATAACAAGAGGGAGAAGAGCAAGCGCGCTTGGTTGCCTGAAGACTGATCTGCTACGCCGTCAACTCGCTTTCGATGCCACCCCCTTATCTCCTGTCTCGACAATAAATGATGTACTGCTGACATGGGTGTAGGGCCCTAGGCTAGGCACACAAGCCGTACCGTACCCTCTATAGTGGCATAAACTGCAGTGATGTGTTAAATGCACAACTGTACACAATCCATGCACCAATCACAATAGATGCGAACTCACACGTGAAAGCTGACATTTTTATACCCTGGGCATGAGCCATACCCTCTACAACCGCATTTACTGTAAGCATTTTCTTCGCACTTCTTGTCAAAAGTGACTCCAGAGATTACATGTACCGTATTCTCCCGGACATAACACCCTAGGGTAGATCTAAAAATACAGGAAAAAAAAGGGGGGTGTCTTCTCATAGGAAAAAGCTACATAATACCCGGGTGCATATATATGGTATATTTTAGTGTTAGAGTTTTTTTTATTATACAATTTGAGTGTTTCCATGGGCTTTTTAACATCACATGTTGAGGCGCGAATGTGAGTTTCGACGCGAACGTCATCACCCCCTCGAAAATGTCATTTGGCACCTCTCTGGCCACCTGCAGCGGAAGATTCGCCAGCACGTGGCGACAGCGAAATACGGGGGGAATCTCGGCAGATTTGATGTGAAAGAACCGGGAAATTTCATCGAGCGAGAGATTTTCGCGATATACTCCCGTACTTGCACGTACTCGTTAACAACTATAATATAGAATCTGTAAGAAAATGGGGGTGTTATAAAAAATCATCTAAAAAGGGGGGTATAGTGAAATCGAGGTCGCCCATAGCACCCACCCCGCACAAGCTACCCGGGGGTGCTCTATCATGGGGGGGTGTTTTGTCCGGGAGAATACGGTATTATTCACACGGGGTGCAAGGAAGCTGAGCACGAGCCGTACCCTCTACAACAGCATTTACTGTAGTGACACGTTTGCTGCACACTTCCTGTCAGCAGTTACTGTGATTTTATTTAATCACACAGGTGCAAGCCCCTGGGCGCGAGCTGTACCCTCTACAACGGCATTCACTGTAGCGACGTGTTTGCTGCGTACTTCCGCACAGCAGATACTGTTCATGTTGTCGAGCCACACGTGCAGGCTCGGGCGCTGCCACTCCGAACCTCGGCCCTGCCTGGATCGGATGTACTGCTTGGTGGTGCAGTCTGGGGGGTGGTGGGAGGGGAACAATGGGGGAGCGGAAAGGAGGGAGAAGGCAGGGGGATAGGGGAGGGATTGTGGAGGGAAGGGAGGGAAGGAGCCCTGCCTGGATCGGATGTACTGCTTGGTGGTGGTGCAGTCCGGGGGAGAAAGGGGGGGAAGTGAGGGAGGAGGAAAGAGGGAAAAGGGTGGGGGATAGGGAGTGATTGGGAATGAAAGGAGAGATAGGAGACCTGCCTGGGTCGGATGTACTGCTTGATGGTGCAGTCTGAGGGTTTTATTTGGGGGGGGGAGGGGGAAGGGGGGAGGGAGAAGGGAGGGGGATAGGAGGGGCGGGGTGGGTGGAGGGGATTGGAAAGGGGAACAGGGGAGGAAGGAGGGGGATAGCTGAGAAACTGTGGAAGAGAGGGATACGAGCCGTGTCTGGATTGAACGAACTACTTGGTGGTGCAGTCAGGGAGGCGAGGTGACTTCAGAGGTGACTTAAGAGGTGACTTAAGAGGTGACTTAAGAGGTGACTTAAGAGGTGACTTAAGAGGTGACTTAAGAGGTGACTTAAGAGGTGACTTAAGAGGTGACTTAAGAGGTGACTTAAGAGGTGACTTAAGAGGTGACTTAAGAGGTGACTTAAGAGGTGACTTAAGAGGTGACTTAAGAGGTGACTTAAGAGGTGACTTAAGAGGTGACTTAAGAGGTGACTTAAGAGGTGACTTAAGAGGTGACTTAAGAGGTGACTTAAGAGGTGACTTAAGAGGTGACTTAAGAGGTGACTTAAGAGGTGACTTAAGAGGTGACTTAAGAGGTGACTTAAGAGGTGACTTAAGAGGTGACTTAAGAGGTGACTTAAGAGGTGACTTAAGAGGTGACTTAAGAGGTGACTTAAGAGGTGACTTAAGAGGTGACTTAAGAGGTGACTTAAGAGGTGACTTAAGAGGTGACTTAAGAGGTGACTTAAGAGGTGACTTAAGAGGTGACTTAAGAGGTGACTTAAGAGGTGACTTAAGAGGTGACTTAAGAGGTGACTTAAGAGGTGACTTAAGAGGTGACTTAAGAGGTGACTTAAGAGGTGACTTAAGAGGTGACTTAAGAGGTGACTTAAGAGGTGACTTAAGAGGTGACTTAAGAGGTGACTTAAGAGGTGACTTAAGAGGTGACTTAAGAGGTGACTTAAGAGGTGACTTAAGAGGTGACTTAAGAGGTGACTTAAGAGGTGACTTAAGAGGTGACTTAAGAGGTGACTTAAGAGGTGACTTAAGAGGTGACTTAAGAGGTGACTTAAGAGGTGACTTAAGAGGTGACTTAAGAGGTGACTTAAGAGGTGACTTAAGAGGTGACTTAAGAGGTGACTTAAGAGGTGACTTAAGAGGTGACTTAAGAGGTGACTTAAGAGGTGACTTAAGAGGTGACTTAAGAGGTGACTTAAGAGGTGACTTAAGAGGTGACTTAAGAGGTGACTTAAGAGGTGACTTAAGAGGTGACTTAAGAGGTGACTTAAGAGGTGACTTAAGAGGTGACTTAAGAGGTGACTTAAGAGGTGACTTAAGAGGTGACTTAAGAGGTGACTTAAGAGGTGACTTAAGAGGTGACTTAAGAGGTGACTTAAGAGGTGACTTAAGAGGTGACTTAAGAGGTGACTTAAGAGGTGACTTAAGAGGTGACTTAAGAGGTGACTTAAGAGGTGACTTAAGAGGTGACTTAAGAGGTGACTTAAGAGGTGACTTAAGAGGTGACTTAAGAGGTGACTTAAGAGGTGACTTAAGAGGTGACTTAAGAGGTGACTTAAGAGGTGACTTAAGAGGTGACTTAAGAGGTGACTTAAGAGGTGACTTAAGAGGTGACTTAAGAGGTGACTTAAGAGGTGACTTAAGAGGTGACTTAAGAGGTGACTTAAGAGGTGACTTAAGAGGTGACTTAAGAGGTGACTTAAGAGGTGACTTAAGAGGTGACTTAAGAGGTGACTTAAGAGGTGACTTAAGAGGTGACTTAAGAGGTGACTTAAGAGGTGACTTAAGAGGTGACTTAAGAGGTGACTTAAGAGGTGACTTAAGAGGTGACTTAAGAGGTGACTTAAGAGGTGACTTAAGAGGTGACTTAAGAGGTGACTTAAGAGGTGACTTAAGAGGTGACTTAAGAGGTGACTTAAGAGGTGACTTAAGAGGTGACTTAAGAGGTGACTTAAGAGGTGACTTAAGAGGTGACTTAAGAGGTGACTTAAGAGGTGACTTAAGAGGTGACTTAAGAGGTGACTTAAGAGGTGACTTAAGAGGTGACTTAAGAGGTGACTTAAGAGGTGACTTAAGAGGTGACTTAAGAGGTGACTTAAGAGGTGACTTAAGAGGTGACTTAAGAGGTGACTTAAGAGGTGACTTAAGAGGTGACTTAAGAGGTGACTTAAGAGGTGACTTAAGAGGTGACTTAAGAGGTGACTTAAGAGGTGACTTAAGAGGTGACTTAAGAGGTGACTTAAGAGGTGACTTTTGAGGTGCCTTTTGAGTCGACTCAGAAGTCACCTCGTTACAATGGCACACGACCCTGCAGTGGACGTACTGCTTGGTGGTGCAGTCGGGGCGGTGGAGGAGGACGGAGAAGGGAAGGGAGAAGGGAAGGAGAAGGGAAGGAGAAGGGAAGGGAGAAGGGAAGGGAGAAGGGAAGGAGAAGGGAAGGAGAAGGGAAGGGAGAAGGGAAGGGAGAAGGGAAGGGAGAAGGGAAGGAGAAGGGAAGGGAGAAGGGAAGGGAAGGGAAGGGAAGGGAAGGGAAGGGAAGGGAAGGGAAGGGAAGGGAAGGGAAGGGAAGGGAAGGGAAGGGAAGGGAAGGGAAGGGAAGGGAAGGGAAGGGAAGGGAAGGGAAGGGAAGGGAAGGGAAGGGAAGGGAAGGGAAGGGAAGGGAAGGGAAGGGAAGGGAAGGGAAGGGAAGGGAAGGGAAGGGAAGGGAAGGGAAGGGAAGGGAAGGGAAGGGAAGGGAAGGGAAGGGAAGGGAAGGGAAGGGAAGGGAAGGGAAGGGAAGGGAAGGGAAGGGAAGGGAAGGGAAGGGAAGGGAGGGAGGAGAAGGGAAGGAGAAGGGAAGGAGAAGGGAAGGGAGAAGGGAAGGGAGAAGGGAAGGGAGAAGGGAAGGGAGAAGGGAAGGGAGAAGGGAAGGGAGAAGGGAAGGAAGAGAAGGGAAGGGAGAAGGGAAGGGAGAAGGGAAGGGAGAGGGAAGGGAGAAGGGAAGGGAGAAGGGAAGGGAGAAGGGAAGGGAGAAGGGAAGGGAGAAGGGAAGGGAGAAGGGAAGGGAGAAGGGAAGGGAGAAGGGAAGGGAGAGGGAAAGAAGGGAAGGGAGAAGGGAAGGGAGAAGGGAAGGGAGAAGGGAAGGGAGAAGGGAAGGGAGAAGGGAAGGGAGAAGGGAAGGGAGAAGGGAAGGGAGAAAGGGAAGGGAGAAGGGAAGGGAGAAGGAAGGGAGGGAGAGGGAAGGGAGAAGGGAAGGGAGAAGGGAAGGGAGAAGGGAAGGGAGAAGGGAAGGGAGGTAGGAAGGTGATTTGCAGGGAGTTGAAAAATGAGATGTAGAAGTAGGCGATGTGTAGAAGTAGGCGAGGAGGATAGAATGGAGACATAGGAGGGAGAAGAAGGGATGTGTCCTTACCGCGGGGGAGAGGGATGGACGCTAGAGAATAAGGCTTGTGTGCATGCATATGTACGTACCGCACAGCAGGATGGTGCCGTGCATGACAGCAAAGAAGAAGAGCAGCGACGTGTAGAAGTAGGCGAGAGCGAGCAGCATGAGGAAGAACACATACACCTCCTGCTCGCTCAGTCCCCTGGTGTGGGGGAGGTGAGGGAGGTTGGGAGTACAATCAGTAGAAGCAGAGGAACGAGGGCGAGCAGCATGAGGAAGAACACATACACCTCCTGCTCGCTCAGTCCCCTGGTGTGGGGGAGGTGAGGGAGGTTGGGAGTACAATCAGTAGAAGGGGAGGAACGAGGGCGAGCAGCATGAGGAAGAACACATACACCTCCTGCTCGCTTAGGCCCCTGGGGAGGGGGAGGTGGGATGTGGGGGAGGTGGGATGTGGGGGAGGTGGGAACAAAGACACAGGGAGAGGAGGGGAGGGGACAGGGGGAGACAATGAGAGGACAGGAGGTGGGAGGGGGAGGTGGGATGTGGGGGACAGGGGGTGGCAATGGAGACAGGGGGATTTGGGGAGGGGAAAAGTAGGCGAGGGCGAGCAGCATGAGGAAGGGCACATGCACCTCCTGCTCGATTAGACCCCTGGGAGAGGTGGGAGGTGGGAGAGGTGGGAGGTGGGAGAGGTGGGAGAGGTGGGATTTGGGAAAAAGAGACAATAGAAGAGGAGGGATGAGAGCGAGGAGCACGAGGAAGAACACATACACCCCCTGCTCTGCAACCCTTTCTCACGCATTTATGACACTAAACACAAACGCGTCATCACCACTCAATAACATCTCACTCAGTTATCCCTGTTCTCCGCCTTGAGCCGCAGAATTGCCGCAAGTTATCTCAACTTCTCAACTGATCTGATCTGACTCACTTATCCCACCATCTCACTCACTTATCCCAGTCCTCCGCCTTGAGTCGCAGAATTGTCGCATAGAGGAGCAGGCCTGATGCCTGTTGTTGGGAAGACGCACAGAGGGAGGAGAAGTAGGAGAGGGGCCATGTGCAGCATCAGGCATGTGTGGCCATGTGCAGCATCAGGCATGTGTGGCCATGTGCAGCATCAGGCATGTGTGGCCATGTGCAGCATCAGGCATGTGTGGCCATGTGCAGCATCAGGCATGTGTGGCCATGTGCAGCATCAGGCATGTGTGGCCATGTGCAGCATCAGGCATGTGTGGCCATGTGCAGCATCAGACATGTGTGGCCATGTGCAGCATCAGGCATGTGTGGCCATGTGCAGCATCAGGCATGTGTGGCCATGTGGCTGTGTGACCCAGTGTTCCATTACACCTGCCCTACCGGGGAAGCGGAAAAGAGGAAGCCAGTGAAGAAGCGGTGGTTCTTGCGCGCAACACACATGTGGGGTGTTTGTATGTGTGAGTGCAGCAGCATACGTGTGTGAGTGGCCTAGGTGCCTCACACGTACCAGGGAAGCGGAAAAGAGGAAGCCAGTGAAGAAGCGGTGGTTCTTGCGAGCAACACATGTGCCCACCGCCCCGCAGTGGTGGTCGAACCGCTGTTAGCCATGCGAAGGGTGGGGGGGAGGTGGGGGGGGTGGGGGGGAGGATGGGAATGGGGAGGGAAGAGGCGTGAGGGAGTGAAGAATCAGTTGTTATTGCTGGCTGGTTCTTGCGCGGCACACACGTGCCCACCGCACCGTAGTGGTGGTCGAAGCGCTGCGAACCACGCGGGGTGGAAGGAGAGGGGCGGAAAGAGGGGGTTTGGTAAAAGGGGGGGACGAGTGGGAAAAAAGGGGAGCCTTCTTTCTGGACGGACCTGGCCCAAGGTCCGTCCAGCAGTAACGCTTTTGAGTAGACTCAAAAGAAGACCCTGCGCAAGGTCCGTCCAGCAAGAATTGTGTTTTTTTAAGGCGCCTCAAAAGTCAAAAGCAGACCTTGCGCAAGGCTCGTGCAGCAAGAACGGCGCAACGTGAGGCCCGTGCAGCAGCACGCGCTTCAAGGAGGCGTGTGCTTGATGGGTCTTGTAACGTGAGACCTGTCTAGCAGCAGGTGCTTCAAGGCGCTACAGCAGAGCAGCACCTTAGTCATGCATGCTACAGAAAACTAATGACCAGTCTACACACCTCCATGCAGAAGCCACATCGGGAGCAGTGGCTGGTCCTGGGTTGCCGCCACACGTTGCACGTGCTGCAGTATCGCTGGGTGATCTCCGACCGCCCGTCCAGCAGCAAGCGGCGGCGTGCCCACTGGCCGTGCGAGTCAATGACAAGGTCCGGGGAGATCTGGCCCCTCTCTGCTGCCACCACCTCGGGGTCTGGCAGGGAGTAAACAAGAGGGAGACAGAGAGCAGGGATGGCATAAGCAGCATCAAGCGGCGGCGCACCCACTGGCCGTGAGAATCGATCACGAGGTCTGGGGAGGTCTGCCCCTCTCTGCTGCCACCACCTCGGGGTCTGAGGGGAGCAGGAGAGCAAGGGGGGAAGGAGCAGGAGAGCAAGGGGGGAAGGAGAAGGAGAGCAAGGGGGGAAGGAGCAGGAGAGCACGGGGGGAAGGAGCAGGAGAGCAAGGGGGGAAGGAGCAGGAGAGCAAGGGGGGAAGGAGAAGGAGAGCAAGGGGGGAAGGAGCAGGAGAGCAAGGGGGGAAGGAGAAGGAGAGCAAGGGGGGAAGGAGCAGGAGAGCAAGGGGGGAAGGAGCAGGGAGAGCAAGGGGGGAAGGAGCAGGGAGAGCAAGGGGGGAAGGAGCAGGGAGAGCAGGGAGAAGATCAGCAGCAGGCGGCGGCGCGCCCACTGGCTGTGCGAGTCAATAACAAGGTCCGGGGAGGTCTGCCCCCTCTCTGCTGCAACTACTTCTGGGTGTGAAGGGAACCAAGAGCAGGAGAACAGGGCGCAGGGAGAGGGGGGAGGAGGAGAGCGGGGGTAAACCAGCAGCAGGCGGCGGCGTGTCCACTGGCTGAGCGAGTCGATCACAAGGTCCGGGGAGGTCTGCCCCCTCTCTGCTGCTACCACCTCGGGGTGTGGAGTGGGTGGAGCAGGAAGGAAGGGGGGGATTGGGTAAGGAGGGGAGGCAGCGGCCGTCCAGCAGCAGGCTGCCCACTGGCCGAGCGAGTCGATCACAAGGTCCGGGGAGATCTGCCCCCTCTCTGCTGCTACCACCTCGGGGTCTGGGAAAGTGGGGAAACGGGGAAGAGGGGTAAGGGGGGAAAAGAGGGAAAGGGGGAAGGAGGAGGAGCGGGGGAAGGAGGGGAAGGGGGACAGGAGGGGAAAGGGGGGGAAAGAAGTGAAAGGTTGTGGCTTCACTCTTTGCTTTGATGTCAGCGGGCGGGATAATCCCAGGGTTGATGTGTTTGACGAGGACGAGAAAGAGAGGAGGAAGGACGGGCGGAAGGAGACTGGCGGAGGAAGAGGCGGGTACGATGGGGAGGAGGGGATTGAGGGCAGAAGTAAAGCGTTGGGTAGCGGCCGGCTTACCTTTGATGTCGGAAGGCGGGATGATCCCAGGGTCGATGTGTTGCACGAGGAAGAGGAAGAGGAGGGGGTCGAGGGGGAGGGGTAGGGGAGAGGGCGGTAGTGGGTTGCAGCTTCATTCGTTGTGGCTTCACTCTTACCTTTAATATCAGAAGGCGGGATGATCCCAGGGTCGATGTGTTGCACGAGGAAGAGAAGAGGAGGTAGGAGAGGGGGAACAGGAGGAATGGGGAGGAGGGATTGAAAGGTTGTGGTTTCAAACATACCTTTAATCTCAGAAGGCGGGATGATCCCAGGGTCGACGTGTTGCACGAGGAAAAGGAAGAGCAGCGCCAGGAACACCGCAGCACTCACTACCGCGTACAGCACCGCCTGCAGAGTCGGGCTCGCCAAACCGGGCAGGCTGGCTCGGAACGAAGAGCAGCCAAGTAGGGTCGGACGGGGGTGGAGAGCGGGGGGAGGGGAACCAAGTTGTGCGGGTGATTAAAGCGAAGTGATGCGGGATGAAGGGCCGGTGAGTGAAGTGAAGGGATGCGGAATGGCGACGGGATGAGCGGGTGGTTCGAGTCAACTCTACGATGGGCGGATGATAGCGATGGAGAGTGCACAACAACAGGGGGTGCGTTGGAGATGCGAAATTTGCAGGGCCGCAAGAATCGGATGGTAGCAGTTGAGAGCAGAACAGAAGAAGGGGTTGGAGATGTATACGACGGGGGGAGGTGAGGGTTTGGTTTGGGGGAAGGAGGGGAGGGGAATAGTGTGCGTGGGGGAGAGGGAGTGTGTGTGGGAGGGGGAGGGGGAGAGAGGCGCGGGGAAGAGATGGGGTGGGGTTGTGCGGGGAGGTGAAGAGAAGGAAATGAGGAGGGGAAGCAGCGTCTTTAGCAGCAGGCACCTAGAACTAGAGATGAAACTAGAGACCGACACACGCAAATCATTGGCGAACCTCTTTTTGAGGCGCCTCAAAAATCGTCTCAGTTCACACCGACACGCGCAAATCATTGGCGAACCTCGCTGTAACGAGGTCGAGAAGCACAATGATGTTGATCACGAGAGGAAGGCAAATAATTATTCGAAACAGAAGCCTAACTTAGAGCAGAGGGAGTCCTTACTTATTACAATGACGTACACGAAAGCGAATCCCGCTACAGCGAGGCCGATAATGACGGCGACGATGACGCGGAAGCCCCAGAGGCTGTCGGACCACTTGATGCCGGGCCGCGCGTCGTACTTGGCGCTGCTGGGCCGCACCTGATAGCGCTTGCTGGGGTCCATAGCTGCACGGTGCTACTCGGTGCTGCTCGGTGCTGTTCGGTGGTGCTAGGTCTATGCCGCAGTAATTTAAGGTGCTAGCTCGGGGTACTGGTGTGAAGGGGGAACCCCTAAACTATGCAGGCTAATACTGAAGCACCTAGGAACAAGGAGCTTCTATCGAGACTGCTCGAGATGCAGTTCGAAGCCCAGCTGAGTCTAAAACGCGACTACTAGCTGCGTTGACCGTGCCGTGTGACACGCTTATGTGATTTCAGACACGCCTTAGTGTGAGCACTCTTTCACCATAGTACAATGAACCGACGCAAATGGAACATCATCTATGGAGGTCGGTCGTGTCGCAGACCGCAGAGCAACAGCTTGCGAGGTAACTTGGATGTTCTGATTGACAGTTTGTGCGGGGAGGGAGGGGAAACGCCGTAAGGGTTACTCTGAATATGAGTTCCTAAATTTACGAAAGCAAATAGTTTACACTTGGGTGGGCGCAAGAGGGAGCCCAGTTGGCGATTCCTCACGAATTTTCGAATCACGTTGTAACTAATGACGAAACGCAAATTATAAGTCGCAAACACCGCAATCGCTTGGGCAGCTCGAACTAAACGCATGTTCGCATGGACCCCCAACTCGCAGTTCCATCACTACTTGTGTGTTGTGGACAGCAACTAGTTCCCCGCGCTGGATGCTTGTTGAGTGTGGGGTAGTAGGAGTGTGGGAAACTGGGCTTAAGGGACAGGAGTGGCTGGCGAGTGGAAGGGGTTTGGGTAGGGGGTAGGGTGGACAGAAGGTGGGAGGCGGTGACAAAACGTTTAGGAAAATCAGAGTCAGGGTGGACACTATCGTCAAAGAGTCCATTTCCGAATCCTCTGGTCAGGTGAAAAATATAGACTGGTTTCGAATGAACACGGATGGCTTCAGGGTGCTGCTTTCAGCTGTTTTCACAGGTTCACAACCCCACGATCCCTTATAGCGTGATATGAGTAGCTGTATGGGTGCACACCATCACGGCTCTGCGTTGCTTTATACAATGACTACGATAAAAATATAACCACTATTCCGAGACTCTTTTGAAAGGATATGGACGAATGATGGAATATATTTGTATCTACAGCTATTTTTTACGCTGTTTCTCACATTTTAAATTCGTACAACCCATAATCATATACTTATCATCTCAGATTCAACATGCTGCACAAAAGCTGGCTCCACCAAGTACACTATCGAAGATGCAGAAACACAACACATGAATTTCATCCATTCCGCCGCCACCTCCCCCCCTCCACCAGCATCCGAGGTGGTGACAAAAAAACTTGAAATTTCCGGCAGCAATTCCGAATCAGGTGCATTCTCCACGATGTTTGTCAGGTGGATTCTCTGTGACTTTTTGTTTGGATGCAGGACAGCAAGAAGGACACGGCGAGGCGAGGTAAGATCCAGGTCCCATACAGTTTCATGTAAAGACAAGCCACGATTTTTGATAGGTTTGCCCAAGCTGACGCTTCAGCTGGGGACTCCTCATTGCTTTCCTGCCCGGCCTCATTCCCCTCCCCAGATCCAGCCCGTCACAACAGAGGTCTGGGGGCTCCAAGACGAGGCTCACTCTTAGTGATTACCGCTTACAAGTGTTTTCGTTTAAAGTCCGACGGAAAAACACGAAGCGCGCGGACTATGTGGCAAATTTTCCAAAACCCCGGGCAACGGGACTATAACCCGAAAAATCCAGAGAGATTGTAAAAAAGTGGTAAAAATGTGAATGTTTTAATTTATTTTTGCTATCAACATTACAGTGGGACCGCGCCTGTTTCAAATTCTTATCGCGCGGTTCTCGGCGCTGGTCATCGTCACGTGACCGACGGGCAGAAAACAATAAACCTTATTCTTTGATGCCTTTATTCACGAAGTTCTTGGCTTTCTTCTGCCGGTCAGCACGCTTCAAGAGATGGAATCGTCGAGCGCGGTTGGAACCGCGCGATAGGATGTAGAAGCTAACGCGGTCACTATAAGTACGAAATGATTGTGTAAGTTACTTAGGATTTGCAAAAATCCTCCAAACTTGGTAAATTCTGAGTGAGCTGGTCTGGTTCGATTCGAGCTTTCCGATTGGCTGTAACAAAATTTCCCGTCAAAAATGGGACTATAGAGGAGGGGACACACCTAGGACTTATCGGAAAATTCTACTCATGGGGAAAAAGGGACTTTGAAAATGGGGCCTCTAAACAAGAGCATCTGTACTACCGACAGGAAAATAACATGTTCTGATCTGAGATTCCCCGGTGAGAAATGAAAGCACGTTTATCTCCCAGGCCTCCCCAAACCAAACTCCCAAACCTAACCCGAGCCAAACTCTTCCCACCAGGAGAAATGAGCTGCAGGTGCTTGCCAACCTACCTCCACCTGAAGCAGTGACTGCCTTCGCTGTGCACAAGAACGCACCGACCCCCCCCCCCCCAGACCGCGAGACTGACCAGGCACCCCAATCTCTCTGTTGGTTACAGTTCACTACCATATCCTGGAATTCTAGAAGTTGGCGTGTACAGAGGTGATACTTCGGGTCTCACGGTACTTAGTGGACCTGACCATTATGATTCCTGAGTCGAGACCCTAAGCCACAGAATCCTGGCGTGTCCCGCGTCAACATACCTCTTTTCTTGACAGGATATGGCGTGAATATTCACGCCTGAAGCCTGTCGCTCCCCCCATGGGCCAGAAAATGGAGCCGCGGTGGCCCATGCCGGCTCGACATTACATCCACCGTCACAGGCGACACGCAGTCGTTCAAACAGGATCGCGCTTTCCCCACCTTCTCCTCCTTCCCGTCCTCTTCACCTCCCTACTCCTTCCAGTCGCCTTCCTTACCACCCCAGCAGCAGCGCAATCCACGCCGTATTCCACGCTCGGCGTGCCCGTCGGAATCATCGCTGGCGGGGTGCACAACCCGCTGACGGGCGACATAAAAAACGTCGCATGGCAGGTGAACCTTCGCACGCGACGCGAGATCGGAACGGTCGGCGCCGCGGATAGCGACGCGGACGCGTGGCGCGCGGACTGTAGCGTCGCGACGGACGGCACTGCTTACGTCACTTCCACCACCTCGCGACTCAACGTCGTGAGCTACACGACAGACGGGCCAGTGGCGCAGCCGCCCGTAAATCTTCCGGCCGGGTTCACGAGCACCACAACAGTACTCGGGGGACCTTCCGAGAACCTTCTCGTGGTGGCAGATGGGGGGGAGTCGGCAGGAGGGGCGGTGTCGGTGGATAGGATCAAGAAGACGGTTACAGAACTGGCAGGATCGGGTTACCAGTGCACGTCGGCGACATTCTGCTCTTCGCCAGCGGCGTCGCCGACCGATTTCCTCGTCCTGACTTGCCACGTCACCGCGGATGACTCTGACGTGGTTGTCACCGTCCCTATCGACCCTGCCACGGGTACATTCCAAACCGATGCCTCGTCGATTAAATACATCTCATCTACATACGCGATTCGGCAAGCAGCGTGTTCTCCAGGAGGCGGTTTCATAGCCCTACTGAGATACGATTCGAATATTCTCTACACCTACGCGCTTCCGCTGGCTGGAGCCGCGCTTCCCGCGTCGCCGCTCTCATCGACCACTCTTACCGCGGGTGCCCCCTCGTCGCTAGTAATCGACGCCACTTACAAGAACGTCCTCGTTACAAGCACGTCGTCCTACAAGACGGGCGGCAACGGGCAGAGCTACCTCGGCACGCTCGACTCCGTGCCTTATACCGAAACCGGCGGGTGCGCTACTACCGCGTCTGCCGGCGCGTTTCAGTTCTTAACTGCCGGAACCTACGCGCGCTTAGCGCTATATCCCGGAAGCTCCTTAGACGCTCCTGTGGTACTGATGGCTATCTGGGAGGGAGTTTATTCCTTGAAGCTTGCAGCAGACGGTGCGGTTCAGACCGATACAGCTGGGTTTATTAACCTAGGTACGGCCGAGTCGGGTTATGATTTCTTCGCTACATCCGTATGCGTGCAGAAGTTTGTAGCGTCCCCTTCCCCTCCGCCGCCTCCACCGCCCTCGCCGCCTTCCCCTCCTCCCAGTCCCCCCCGCCGCCGTCTCCGCCTAAGCCACCTTCCCCACCAAAGCCTCCTCCTCCTCCGAGGCCTCCCCCAAGCCCCCCAAAGCCGCCGTCGCCTCCGCCGCCGCCTCCCCCTTCCCCGCCACCATCCCCGCCGCCTCCGCCTTCCCCGCCTCCAAGTCCCCCGCCCCCACCGAGTCCCCCTCCTAGCCCTCCGCCACGCCCGCCACCTCGCCCTCCCCCAAACCCGCCCCCGTCACCCCCCCCACGCCCTCCCCCTAGACCTCCCCCACGCCCGCCCCCATCCCCGCCCCCGAGCCCTCCCCCCAAACCTCCCCCACGCCCGCCCAAAAGCCCTCCGCCTAAACCGCCTCCGCGCCCGCCCCCCAAGCCCCCCAAGCCCCCCAAGAAGAAGACAAGACGGGCTCTGGAAGTGGGCGGGTGGGCGGGAGCGCGGGGAGTAGAGTTGATCAACAGGCGCAAGCCGCCTCCGCTCCCCGTGTTGACGGAGAGGGAGGGTGGAAAGGCGCTTCTGCTTCCGCTACAGTTACCTGGTGAGTGATTATATACTGTCGCAGGGTGTACGACTCAATCTTGTAATGGTAGTGGGTACTTGGTCGTTTGCAGTTCTTGTGCTTCTTCTCCCCTCCCATATCCCCCATCCCGTTTCCTTTCCAACTCCAATCCATCTCAACCCCCTTTCATTGTCTTCCTCGTCATCCTATACAGCAGCTCCCTGCACATGTCGCATTCCTCCAGCTTTTCCGTTTTTCACTTCTTGACTTAACCTTTTCCTTGTTTACCTTTCCCCTCCATCCCTTCTACCCTTCCTCCCACCATTCCCCCCACCCTTCTCCATCTTCTCGCTGCCTCTCTTTCTCTCCCTTTCGTTTGCCTCCTTCCCTCATCCCTTCTCACCTTGCCTCCCTCTCGCACCCTGCCTGCTCCTTAGTTGCCTCTGTTCTCACCTCATCTCTATCTAGCATCCCTTCCCCCTGCACAACAGCCCCGTGTTCTCTCATGATTGGTTCTAAATGCATGATATGGCAACCATAAAGAACCTCACGTTAGTCTTGAAAGTGCATTTCCATATGAACCCGTCTGCATTTTCATCCTCCTGTTCTGCTGTTATTGTGCAGGAAATCTATGACCCAAGGCTGCCTTGCTTCTGCAAAACGTGTAGTCTCCTTTTTGAGCCAGCTAAGACATTCACAAATTGTTTGATGATCCAGCCTGCGGCATTTGCCAGATATGCATTCAACAGTCCACTCTTAGTGTGTCAATAGTTGATGTGGTTGTATTGGGTTTGCCACTATTTTGTAATATTGCATGTTTCGCCATTGCTTGTCTACATAATTTTATAACTTATGAGGTCGATGGATGAGGTGTGAATTTGTGCCGAATGATTGAATCCAGAGTCTATATTGGACAGTATTTTGATTTATGGGGGCAGATGCTTGCTTCGATGCAGTGAGATGCGACAGAAGCAGCAACTAGAGTCACTCCAAAACCTCAGATCTACATCCCGTGCAGTACAGCTGTACCAGATCCTGCCAGTTCTAACATTCCGTCGCGCGTTGTCTGTAGGCTGGGGGGCTTGCTTGCGATGGAGACACCAAACCAAACAGCGATTCCCGCGTTCGTGCTTGCGCGTTCTCCCCCTTTCGCCAGACGGCCTCCCCCGAACTGCACCACAAGAGGTGTCCTGGGAGCCAGCTGTGAGTGAGCGGAGAGTAGGGGAGGAAGGGATTCGCCAATCTCGCCGTGGTTCGGCTCGGCAGCGTGCGAGTGGGGCTCCCCGCCACGTCTGCCTGCTGTTGAGGAAGATCTAAGGACGTGGTGCAGATCGCCTCGTTCTCACGCAATCAGTGGTCGATCGGATCAGATCGCAATCAATTGGGTGTGATTGCCCCGATCTGATGCAATCATCGATTGCCCTCCGCGCCGCACTGTTTTTCTTCGAAAAAAGGCGGAATTTCAACCGCGCCTTCCAGGCTAGTTGTAAGTCCCTTCCAGCTTAAAGTTTGCGAAACTAAGCGACCGTCTGTGTCGCGCAATTACAAGGTAGCCCCATTACGTCGTCCTCTCAAATTGGCGCCACTCGCCCAAGCTGCTAGCCCTGTATACAAGCAGAAGCGAGCCCTAGCGACGGTGGTTACAAATCGTGCATATTCGCCAACTCCCCAATCTATCGATTGCAATCGAGTGCATCAGATCGAGGCAATCGAACGCGATCGATCGCAATCTCGATTGCGATCGACAGATTGCTCCCGATTGCCCAAAAGAACCCCTTCGACCTCTTCGGAAATTGTGGATTGCGGGATCGAGGCAATCAGACTAAGATCTCCCAGATCTGCACCACGTCCTAGTAAGCACCTGAGGCCACTCGTGGCGGGAAATGGTGTTCTGTCACAGGAATGGAAAACCCTCGGATTCCATGTGGATTCCGACACATGAATATTCTGCCCTGACCGGATTAAGTTCCTTCATCTGCTGTTGTTGCCTTGCAGTGATCTGAATCCGTACAGTGCCCATATTTTGTGTAAATCTACGTTTTCCGAGATTTCTGAAAGCAACGATAAAACTATACGTACTAAAAAAAAAAACGTACTCGCATGTATCCGTAGGAAATCACGTGCGGCAGCATTCCATCCAAACCAAAATTCCATTCCATCTTGTTTGTCTCGAAAACAGTCAAATCCTCATCTGGTCTGCTGTGCCGAGCCCCCGAAGCTAGCTGTCCTTCCCACCACACCACACCCATTCCGTGCCCGTGCCTCTCGAGCAGCCGCATGTCCACTTGAACTGAGCCAAACCTCACCCATTCTTTCGTCGGCTCGGCACGCAAGCAACGAATTTGTTTGCTTGCGGTGCAGCCCTTTGGGGATGGAAGGGACGGTACGGGACGGGAGGGGAGCGCAGGGGAAGGTGCTTTACGGAGTGCAAACTGGAAGTGCCTACCGTCTGTGCAGTGCACTCGTCGACGGAGCCGCCATAAAACATGGGCACAGTTCCCCTTTCTCCATCGTCCCTCCCTCGCTGAAAGAACTCATTCGTCCATCCTCCGCCGCTGCCATAATGGTGCTTTATGACGTCCATCAATAGACAGGAGTGTGAAGTCAAGGTTACATTAGTGGCAGTCTCTTGATTCCAGTTTCCAATTGTTCGCAGACGGAGCTACGCCTTGCTCGTCAGTTGCTGGCTCCTGTGATCACTTTCTCTTGCAAGCTCATCGTCGCGCTCCAGTACTACTCGGGTAGTAGTTCAGAATAGACCGTACTCTCCGAGCTTTGATACCTGCTACGAAAGAAGCGACTCTTTAGTTCCAACTCGGAGTCTCTCCGCAGCAGCATCCGCCTGCCGCGGCAACCATCATGTCGAAGCACTACCGGGCTATCCGCAGCTTCCTACCCACCGCAACGGCGGTCGGAAAGCGCCTCTCGCGGCAGACCTCGCAGGAAATAGTCCTAGGTGGTGGCATCGGCGTTCCTCTGGCCGAGGCCTCCTCGCTTGTGCCGCGTAGTAACACGATCGCGCAATCATCATTCGGCGCGCTTCGCCCCAACGGCCCTGCGATTTCCACCACGTCTTCCGCCGCGTCCGCGTCATCCGCCCCGCCTTCCGCGGCATTATCCCCAGCGGAATCCTCTTTCCGGAGACATCACGATCACTCCTGCTCCCCGTCTCTCGCTCCATCAGCAACACCCTACTTCCCCTCATCCACTTCTCTACCATCAGCCTTCCTTTCTCCAGCCAGTACCGCCACCGTCGGCGGAACCATCAGTACCGATCATCGCCGATTCGCTGAGCCGCCCACAGCTGCTGTCCTTCCTGTCTTCGGCGTAGCTCGCCGAACTTTCCCGGGCCCCTCACCACTCTCCAAAGGGACTCCCGGCTCCTGGTCCGATTCTGCACCCGCATTTCCAGGAAATAGCGCATTTCCCGCCGCCGTTCCCGCCGCTGTTTCCGCTGCGGACGCCGCCGCCGCCCCCACTGAACCCGCGCAATGCGGGGTACTGCTTCGTCGTTGTTCTGCCACGGGTTCCGGCGTTTCAGATGCTGAGTTCCTGCAGCATGATTGGATGCGTCGAGCCGCGTGGATGCGGTTGGCCACAGCGGGGGCTGCGGACAACGGCGCTGACGATGCTGCGGCTACTGCTCACGTGGCGGAACACGACTACAGCGAGCGGAGGGACGATGAGATAGGCGACGGGGAGAAATGTACGGCGACCGCGGACGATAGCGCTCTTGACGCGTCGAATGGAACGACCGAGGCCTATCAAGGTGAAGAGGGTAAAACCGCCGATCGTCGGAATCACGTGGACGTAGCGTCACGGCCTCGTCACAATCAGGCCAGCTCCGCCACGCGTTTCCTCCCAAAACCCCCAACGGCGTCAGCAACTAATCTCGAATCCGTTCTTAACGGGGATGAGGACCCTGGTTACTGGGTCGACAGCGCGCAGACGTACCACAGCGTCGGTTGGATCGGCAGCAACCAGCACCGCCGCCACGAGCTGCGTCACGAGCGGTTAGCTGCTGCTTGTGCTCCTAGTAGCGACACATGTCTGATATCATCTCATACAAGTCGTTCGTACCCGCGCGATCATGACACCAATGCAGCAGGGTGGTTAGACGACAGAGATCGCACGGTAGCAGAATCGTGGGTGAACGACAGCCGTCGATCGCTGGATGAGGTGTGGATGGACAGCGCGCGATCGCGCATCCGGGACGCAGCATTGCAGCTGGTGGAGGCGCAGCAAGCGGCGCTGGAGCATAGTAGAGTAGCGTCTGCCATGGAAGCTGCGATGCTGGAGAGGCAGAGTAGCCTGGGGAGGCAGACGAGCCTGGGGAGGAGCCCTGGGGGAAACGGCGCAGGAGGAAAAGCGAGGAAGAGTATGCTTTCCTGGTCACCTCCCGCCAATGACGTGGGTGTGTGTAGGAGCACCCGCAGCAGCCCGATGCGCAGATTTGGTATGGGAGGTTGGGGAGGGGGATCGGTTTGTGACAATGTGGGGGTTGCTTGTAACGGGGATGGGAATGAGATAGATTTGGTGGCTGGAAAGGTTTGTGTTGAGGGTTTCATGGCAAGGACTGGGGGAAACTCGCCGTTGGGAAGGGTTGGGATGATTTTCCGTTTAGGGAGCTCCAAAGGAGTAGTTTCAACAAGTTAATGGCTTCATTCATTAGCACCCTTGTTGGCTGTTGATAGTCTGAAATATCCATGCAGTCCACGTGTGGCTATTTCCCAGATGGTCTTGCAAAAGATACATTGAATGACTGAACTTGTTTTAGTCAAACCACGCTAGTGCCCAGCTTGAGATGTGAGTCAACAACACACTTTAGAACCATAGGTATGCAAGCCACATAGGTAAATTGGTGTAGTCCCGGATTTATCAAAACTTTTCTTCGGGACCCCACCCGTCAAACCCTGGGCAACCCAGTCCACTTCCCCCATCCCCCCCAAACCCAATCCCAAGGCACCATCTGTGCTTGACTACCGCGCATGGGGAGGTACAGCAACAGGCGAGCCTTGAAACTCTCTGGGGTTTGCTCGTGGCACCTCATTCTAGAACGCGACTTAGCTGCGAGGGAACGAGGGAGGTGGTTCTTTGAGGCTGCTACGTTTGTCTGTCCTTAGCGACACGGCGTCAAACAATCGCTTTACTTGTTAAGCGACTAGCCGATTATACACAAAGCCGATGGCGCAAGCATTGTCACTGGCGTCGGGGTTGTCGCCTGTCGCAACTCAGGCTACCCTCCAGAGCTCCGTTGCTTTGCGATCGGGTAAGGCATTTTAGGACTGGTTCGTAAGAAAAGCGTTTCGAGCCGAAGGCTCCAAAGTATTTGAGTAAACAAGCGTCACTTTCAATGTCCTCGATATTGGCTTCTAGAATACCTATGTCATGAGACCCGGTAGGACGGAATGCGTCGCTTTCATAATGCATTTGTTCGATCGTCAGCGTGGTCTTGGTTTCTGAAAGTCAATATCACAGTGTCTTGACGCGCGTTTCCTTCATAGCATCGAATCCTTGGAGCCAAGCTAGTTTCAGAGTGCGAAACCAGTCCCCAGTCGACGTGACTGCAGCTTCTGTAGCTTCCGAATACTGGAAGCTAGGCTCTTCAAGGGCCTGCATCATTTGCTAGCTGTTCGATGTGTATCATATGCCGTCTGATGTGTACCATTTGCCTCCATTTAACGTGCGTCGAGGTCGGCTAAACCGCTGCCCCTCATCCTTAAGAAGCAATGTATATCCGTACCCGCTGTGATCCATTCGTTCTCCCGCTCTGCTTCTCCCCATCCGTTCTTCCTGTTCTCTGATGGTGAAAACTTCCCCGCCGTTCCCTCCTGTTTGATGACCTGCATTCCCGCCTTTGGGCTATGGCAGGCTGTTCCGTTAGTGTGCCTTCCGTAACCGCCACCCGTCTCCACAGCAATGCTAAGGTGCGATTCCGTCCATCACCCCCGTCAGTCCATCGCCGCCGGCAATCACCGCCGTCAGTCACCGCGTCAATCATCTCCGTCAGTCTCTTCCGTCAGTCTCATCCGTCGGTCTCTTCCGTATGTAACCTCCGTCAGTTTTTTTCCGTCATGCACCTCCGTCAGTTGATCGCTATCAGTCAGTCACCGTGTCAGTCACAACCGTCAGTCATAATTGTTAGTCATCGCCTTCCGCCTCCACAGCTTTTCCAAGGACCAACTTTTCTCACATGAGCCTTTGCAGACCTCGCCCGAGCGTTCTCGCGGCATTCCGCAAACTCTCTTGGAGCTTTTTTTTTTTTCCAACCTGCTCTCTAGCTCCTCGCCTTCCGTGTTGATGCTCCTGACACTCCCGTTCCCGGCCCCTTTTCCATATCTCCTTCCCGACGTTATTATCTGGGGCCATCCTCGTGTGTCATGTCACTCGCACTGATCCATCGCCATCTATGCTCCTTTCCGTATTAATCCTCAAATTCGAATCCACTTACATCCATGTCCGCATCTTGTCGGTTTGGTCTTTACCGCTCTCAACGCCTTCAATAACACTTTGCACTCCTCCAATCCCTCCCTCCCCTCGCGCCCTTGTCTTCCCTCCCCCCCGGAATTCTCCTTTCCGCCAACTGTCGGCAGCGGCGCGCAGTGACGTGTCAAGCCGTGGTCGCGGCCGCCGCTGACGGCGCACCTGCTCCGCCTGCGTGTAAGCTCTCTGCGATTCTTCTCAAGAGAATTTTCTCAAACGATGCGCGGATTCTTGTTGCCTCTCGTCTTCGTCTTCCATCACGCTTTTGCTTCCAGGTCTTGCGTCAGACCGTGCAGTGTATCGACCCGACTCAAAGCGCATCTAAATGCGTTGCCCATGCCTTGTCTCCGTGATGCCAATCTCGTGCCCCGCCGTGTGAGCAGTTGGCAAGGGCAACATTGCGCGGGTGGACAAGGAGAAATACCTCAACAGCGTGTATCAATCCTACTAAGTCAAACACCACTACCTTGATCCTTTCTCCATGCCTTTTCCCCGCGATGCCATCCCGTGGCCTCTGTGTGAGCAGTTGGCAAGGGCAACATTGTGCGTGTCGACAAGGAGAAGTACCTCAACAGCGTAGAGGTAAGGGGCTGAACAGAGGGGAATGTGTGGGTATTGGGGGCACGAGAGCATGGGGGAAAGAGCGCATCGGGGGTATGAGAGCGTGCGGGTTAAGCGGGCATCGTGGGCCAAGCGGGCATTGAGGGCTAAGCGGGCATTGGGAGCAAGCGGGCATCGGGAGCAAGCGGGCATCGGGAGCAAGCGGGCATCGGGAGCAAGCAGGCATCGGGAGCTAGCGGGCATTGGGACTTTCTTCCTCTCCTCCCGACCCCCTCTCGCCACTGCCCTCCCTCCTTCACATTCTGCGCCACCTTCCTCTTTCAAACATACCCCTCGCTCCACCTTTTTTTCTTCTCCTCCCCCTCCCACACACCATTTCTACCACGTGCTTCCCAAATACGCGCTTCCCTTCTCCCTTTCCCCTCCATCCATCTCCCTTATTATCGTTTCCTCCATTTCCCTCTCAATGCACTGTCTTTTTCCTCCTGTCCTTGCTTTCCCCCATTCCACCCTCTCCCATCTCCCTCCCCCTCCCCCTCCCCCTCCCCCTCCCCCTCCCCCTCCCTCCCGCCTTTCCGCACCCACGTTCCCACATTTCCTTGTTGAGTCGTCGCAAAACAGCCCTCTGTCCGCCCTTCGTCATTGCCCTTCGTCATTGCCCTTCGTCATTGCCCTTCGTCATTGTCCTCGACCCTCTAACTCTCCTTATCTGCACTCCTCTCTTCTTGCTCTCCCCTCCGCCCCTCCCTCCTCTTTCTCTTCATCGCCACCCGTGTGTCAGTTCAAGACAATGAAACGTCAGGCCTCATCCTTATGCGCAGTCCCTCTCCACCCCCCTCCCCCTCCCCCTCCCCCTCCCCCTCCCTCCCACCTCTCGTTACTCACCTTCGCAAATTTCCTTGTTGAGTCGTTGCAAAACAGCCATCTCTTTCCACATTCCTTTAGCTAAGGCACTGGAGCACCCACCTTTCTCAGCTGCCAATATTCCCCTCTCTCCTGCGTTTCCCCCCGCTCCCCTGCGTTTCCCCCCGCTCCCCTGCGTTTTTCCCCCTCTCCCCTGCGTTTCCCCCCTCTCCCCTGCGTTTCCCCCCTCTCCCCTGCGTTTTCCCCTTCTCGCCTGCGTTTCCCCCCCTTTCCCCTGCGTTTCTCCCCTTCTCCCCCGTGTTCCCCTCCCTCTCCCCTGCGTTTCCCACCCCTCTTTCCTTCGTTTCCCCCCATCTTCCTGCCTTTCCCCTCTCTTCCCTGCATTTCACTCCTCTCTCTGCATTCCCCCCCTCTCCCTCTCTCCTCTTCCCTCTTTCCCTTCTATCCCGTCTTTCTTTCCCCATACCCTCCACCATGCCATGCCACCTCGCGCCCTCCTGCTGCGCCCACTCCCCCTCTCCCACTTCCCCAACGCCCAATCCCCCTGCTCCCGCTCGCCCCTATCCCGCTCCCCCATCTCCCGCTCTCCCTTTCTCCCGCTTCCCCCGCTCCCTCTCCCCTCGCTCCCGCTCCCCCCACTTCCGCTCCCGCCTCTCCCGTCCCCGCTCTCCTGCTCCCCCTCACCCACTCCCCCTTCGCGACCTCCCCCTCCCGCACTCCCCCTCGTGCACTTCCTTCCTACACCTCTTCTGCACACGCCCCCCGCGCCCCCCCCCCCGGCAGTTCAAGGCAGTGGACCATCCGCCCTTCTTCACGGGGCTGGACTACATCTACCAGGCCAGAGGCGAGGTGAGGGGGTGGGGAAGAGGGGTTGGGGGGTGAAGGGAGGCACTGGGGCGAGGTGAGGCGCGGAAAGGTTACCAGGGGTTATGTGGGGTGTAATTGGTCGTGGTGGCACTGCCATGCCACCATCCGCCCTTGTTCACGGGGCTGGACTACATCTACCAGGCCAAAGGCGAGGTGAGGCTCGAAAGGGTTCTTTACCATGTGTTACATGGTAACTACTGTGTTGGTGGCACTGCCATGCCAGCATCCGCCCTTCTTCACAGGGCCGGATTACATCTATCATGCCAGAGGCGAGGTGAGGGGGGCATTTGGAGTTGTGGGGTTGAACGAGTGGGAGGTGATGGGGCGCACTGGGGGGTCAGGGGAATCACTGGAGGGTGGGGGGAAGCACTGGAGGGCGGGGGGAAGCACTGGAGGGCGGGGGGGAGCACTGGAGGGCGGGGGGAAGCACTGGAGGGCGGGGGGAAGCACTGGGGGGTGGGGGAAGCACTGGGGGGTGGGGGGGCGCACTGGGGGGTGGGGGAAGCACTGGGGGGTGGGGGGGCGCACTGAGGGGTGGGGGAACGCACTGGGGGGTGGGGGGGCGCACTGAGGGGTGAGGGGGAGCACTGGGGGGTGAGGGGGAGCCCTGGGGGGTGAGGGGGAGCACTTGGGGGTGAGGGGGCGCACTGTGGCAAGTTCCCCTAGTCAGGCTCTGTTTACCTACCCAACTGCCATGGGATTTGAACTGGGCGTGGGTCAGTGGTAAGTACTATGGTGATTGCAAGTAAGGCAATCGGTAGGTGGGGGAGGGGGAGTGTTGGGGGCCGAGGGGGGTTTATCCCGGGCTACTCCTGGAGCAGATAAGCTGACTGCTTCAGTTGGGAGGGTTCCAACCAAGTTGGGGCATGCGTGATGTTCTTGGCCGGGGTTGGGTCTGTTTCGGGATGGGCGGGCTGATCCCCTGTTCAGATTGTAGTGCCTGAATTCACATTCTCCCCCCCTTTCTATCCGCCCTGTCTCCTCTCATGCAGAACTTGGACCTCAAAAGCTTGTGTAGTAAACAGTGTGCTTTGCCGTATCGGATTGTTTCTGGCGCCTAAAGAGACAATTCTCTTCCCCTTTCTGTCGTGTCTGTCTCCCTTCGTTCAGATTTTGGACCTCAAAGAATTCGGTGGCAACCAGTATGCACTGGTAAGCCATCTGCGGTTGTATGTGTATGCAAGTGCATCTTATGTTAGACTTTATGTACGTCCAGCATGCGTGCGTCAATTCAAGCTTGCTATATAGTCGACTCAGAAGTTGCTTGTATAGTATCATTGGACCAATTCAAGTTGACTTTCAGAGGCGACCCAAAAGTCGCTTTCATTTCATATTTTTCCTTTTTTGTTGGTCTTTAGCTTTCTTGGGCAGGAGTGCCCACGCCCCCTGCTTGGCTTCCCACCAGCATGCTCATCAAGGTATGGATGAATCATGTGCCATGCATGGTTGGTGTATGTCATGCAAGGGTGGTATTTGGTATGTTCCATACGGGATGCGCTATGCTTTCTAGGGTGTGAGATGTGCATTGGCTGTTCTATTTGTCATACATCTGTGTGATATGTGCCATGCTGTGGTGTGGAGTGATTGCAATGATGGATTGTGCAAGGTACATATGATTTGCCTTCCTTTCTGCCAGCGAATATCCAGTGGATATCTTGATGCATGAGATTGACTCATGCACTACACATGTTGTTTCCATGCGATGTGTTTGTATGGTGCATGGGATGCATGGTATGGGGCCAATGGACGCATTCTTGAAGGCTGTCTTGGGTGCATCCGTGTGGGTTATGTAAAAGCGGGTCTTGTTCATCGCAGATATTAATCATGAGCATATGATTTGCCTTCCTTTCTGCCAGCGAATATCCAGTGGATATCTTGATGCATGAGATTGACTCATGCACTACACATGTTGTTTCCATGCGATGTGTTTGTATGGTGCATGGGATGCATGGTATGGGGCCAATGGACGCATTCTTGAAGGCTGTCTTGGGTGCATCCGTGTGGGTTATGTAAAAGCGGGTCTTGTTCATCGCAGATATTAATCATGAGCATATGATTTGCCTTCCTTTCTGCCAGCGAATATCCAGTGGATATCTTGATGCATGAGATTGACTCATGCACTACACATGTTGTTTCCATGCGATGTGTTTGTATGGTGCATGGGATGCATGGTATGGGGCCAATGGACGCATTCTTGAAGGCTGTCTTAGGTACATCCGTGTGGGTTATGTAAAAGCGGGTCTTGTTCATCGCAGATATTAATCATGAGCATGTGCAAGCCGCTTCCGGGGGTTTGTATTGACATTGCCTTGTGATTTCTGGTGTATTGCATTTCCCTGCAGGCTCCCAAGCTCGAATACGTGAGGACATAATTGCGCTCCTCCTTGCAGTTGTAACTACGCACTGGGAGGCATTGGCTTGGTTTTGCACAAAATATAATTGCAGTTTGAAGAGGTTTATAGGGTAGAATCGTCATGCTTTGCACATTGCAAGGTGTAAACAGTTCTTCAGCTCAAAAACTTAGGTACAGTATACAAATGCAGCTTTCTAGAACTTCACATGTAGGAGAGGTTGCTTACACGTGCAGAAAAAACAACGCAGAGAACCTCAATTATCAAGGTGTACAATATAAATAAGCTGCTTTGTATCCTTCGAGGTCTTCTTGTGTAAAGGAAGGAGCTGTTCGCGGAAGATTGAGGAGGTTTACAAACGAAGCCGACTTGAAGGCGGACGACCACCTCCTGGTTAGCCTCCTCCTCTCACACCCCTTCCCGGCATTTTTCGCCGGGGAAGCTGCAATCATCAGGCTGAGATGCCTGTCATGCTCCGCGAATCGCTGCTGCGCTTCGACAAGCTCCAGCGCCGCGACTCGAATGCGGCATCTCGCGTCGTCCACCCACCCTGGATCACAGGCTCGCGCCGCGTCCAAACAGCCACACAAGGCCTCTGAATTTCGTGAATCGTAGCTTGAAGCAAGGCCGACGTCAGTAGTAGGGCTGCATTGGCAACGAGAAACGACTTCGTTAGAACTGCCCGTCGCGCTGCAGCTGTTGGCGTCGTTGTTGCTTCGATGGTGGTGATTGTCACCATGATTGACCACGGCGGGTTCGCACGCGGACGCGGAAGACGAATAGCTTCTCTCCGGAGATGAAACCTGTGACGAAGCCGCGTCGTAGTCGTGGTCGACATCGTCTTCATCGTCGTCACTGCAAAATACATCGTGTCTTCTGCCGAGCTGCGCGCCCCGCAGATTTTCAATTCGAAATCTTGGCGATTCCACCGCCTCCGCTGCCGCAAGCTGAGAGCACGACGCGGACAGGCGGAGGTCGCCATTGGCGGCCTCTTCGCGACATCCTCTCGTGCTAATACGAGTAGATGCGGGAAGAGCGGCGGCCATCCCACGACGATGCTCTTCATGAGGCGTGTCGGGAAAAAATATTGTTCGTTCATCTTCAAAATGCTGAAAACCGGCAGAGGAAACACGTCCCACACTCACGCTGGCGATTGGAGTGCGCGAAACGCAACCCTATATGACTTTCAGAACTCGACTTCAAGTCGGCGGAGGGGTGGAGTGGGGAAGGGGAAAGGACTCTATCTCGGACCTAATCCGCGGTGACCGGATGGTGGGCAGGAACTTAGGTCCTCCAAAATGCGGTGTGAATTGATATCGCCGCTACAACAGATTTGCGATGTGGTTCACGAAAGAATGAGAGACCTATTTATCCACTCTGGTAGAGAGCTCGATACAGGGGGGAGGGAAGCCTTCCCCAGAGCTCTCCGCGGGGAGTCATTGCGGGTACGGTTCGGGCGTAGCAGAGTCGCGAAAGGCCACAGTGCGAATCGCTGAGGCGCAATGGCACAAAATAACCCACAGTCCAGAATAAATTCCCAGCAAGGGCTCGCTCAGATTCCGGATTTCGCGGGAGCGCTGCTGCCAATATCGTGAGGATCGAACGTGGCACGAAATGACTGGAACTCCGCGGTGCACTGTGGGCTGTCCGTTCTTTCCGCAGAAAAATGGGCGGCTACAGTATAAGTGAGGCAGATACATTGTCTGAAGTGAGGTTTCAGGACGTGAATCAAAATCGCAATCGCACAGATCGAAACTTAACATCGGCTGCTCGTTATCGGGCGGCAGCTAGCTGTAAAGTTTGGTGCCGGACACCGCCGTTGTCGCGTTGTCGCTGTAAAGGTTCGAGAAATCGCGAAGTGGAACGGCAATGGCGTGGCGGATAAAGGAGAGGCTTTTCGTCATCAGTTCTGCAGGAGCTGAGGTGGCGACAAATCGTCACCTCCTAGCCGAGAGACGAGACGAAGCGAAGCGCATGAACGATCTACGGGATAGGGTTCGCTAGGCCCACTGGAGGATTTCTGGTGTCACTAGCCCAGTGGCACCGCCTCCTTGGTTTCTCCTTACACGAAACAAGGCAAGAACGAAATGCAGCAACAGAACTAACTGGAACACCCTTGTTCTCAGCACTCTCACCGTTTTGAAAACAACAGTACCATTTTTTAAAGTTTGGAAACTTGACTTAGGGTGAAATTGTCACTATAACGCATGTGATAGGACCTTCTTTGGTCCGTTGCGGCTACACAAAGCGTCATAGTCAGTATAACATATGCCAGTCTATCGAGAATGAGGGTGTATTTGAACGGATATTCCAGCTGCCAACTCTGTGAGCGTGAAGATTTGGCAAGTCAAGCAGCTATGGCTGCTGCTGCCTACTCCACAAAGAATGGGAGCACCAAAATCACCGAAAGGGCAACTATGCCTAGGTATTTACAAAATGAAACAACTATGTGAAAAGCTGGATGAAAGATTGGGAGACTCTGTTGCTTTCGCACGTTTGCAAACCCATCCGCAAACGCGTGCTGATTGGCCGCAACTCTGAGAATAGCCGCGCTACACCGGGACAATCGCGTGCTGATTGGCTGCGCTAATCTGAGCCAACCTCGTGTTGATTGGCCGCCTGGTAGTTAGGGATGCAGTGATTCTTTACAAGTTCCACCTTGGCGCATGATTCAATGGAAAAACGAATTCATGTTTCATAGGATGAAAACTGAGACAGCATCTTCTGCAAATTCACTTAAACCACGAAATTAATTACGGTAGTTTTGTGTATAGCACAAATAATTTCAGCTGAAAATGTTTCAGCCTCTTTCTTCTAATACATGAGATGTACACCGATGAACTGAAAATGTTTCCTTACAATCATAACAGAACCTAGCGTATTGATTACACATGTTAGAGTTCTGATCTTATCCATATTCCGCAACTCAGCAGCGGGAAACCCTATCGCTTGAATTTGACACGTCATTCAGAGCCCATCCTGAACCGCGCTGTTGTTTTCCAGCGCATACCAAGCACGTGTGTCGAGAGTCGACGACTAGCAAACCTCAGCAGCAGTAACCACTTCGTTCGCTCCTCGTCAACTCGTTAGTATATGCGATAGCTACATTTGTGCTATGCTGGCACAGCTGGAACGAGTTCGCTGACTTGGAAAGAGAAGCGAGGGAATACCTTGAGCTTCAAGCGACCCATTTACAAGCTCCGATGTGCATTTTCTGCAAGGTTCATTCCACTGCCAGCTGACGAATTAGTTGTTAGAAAGTCTAGGCAAGAATGAGAAACAATGCAAGAAGGGTTTTCACTAACAAGCATAGGGATACATATAGCAAACCCTAGAAGGGCTGTACTCGCTATAGAGTACCCCACTGCAGGCTAGACAACCATCACATTCTGACACACCCCCATAGTCAAAGTGGGGTACAATCAACACAACAAGCAGGCAGAGCAGTAGGTTCACAAATACAAGCAAAGCTAGAGGCTATCACAGAGGGCAAGTGAGGAGGAGGAGAAACTGTGGGAGCAAGAAGATGGGAGGCAACGGCTGAAGCAGCAGATACGCGCGCAACAGAAGCGCGCAGCACTGTCGCTACCAGGCGCAGAGCCCCGGACTACACGGCGACAGACACTCGGGCAACAGGAACGGCGCGCACAGTGGCTACCGGAGCACTCAACCTCCGGACTACAGGAGTAACTGGCTCCGCACTAAGCTGCAGGAGCAACGGACCCACGGGCGACTGGCGCAGCAGGCTCGCTGGGCTACCGGAGTACTCAACCCCCGGGCTACTGGCGCTGCAGACGTCACACCGGCTACCTCCTGTCAACCTCCCCCAACTGTCCCACACCCCTATCACACACCCCCTGTTGAACCACTAGCAACGCTCACACGCCACCCCCCTCCTGACGGCTCCAACACATCCACCCCCCTGAGCGGCAGCTGCAGCAGTGGGAGACGGAGGAGGAGGAGGAGCAGGGGATGGCGCACTCACCTGTCACCCCCATTCCCGCCACCCCCACATCCGCCACCCCCAAACCCTAACACAGGCAGCAGCGGGGGGGGGGGGGGGCGGTGCGCGGGCAGCAGCCAGGGGGAGGGCGCGCGGCTCCCCAGGGCGCCTCGACGGGGCAGCGGGGGCCGCGCGCGGCTCCCCAGGGCGCCGCGACGAAGCAGCGGGGTCGCGAGCGGCTCCCCAGGGCGTCGCGACGGGGTAGAAGGGTCGCGCGCGGCTCCCCAGAGCGTCGCGACGAGACAGCGAGGGGCAGCGCGTGGCTTCGCGAGGCGACGCGACGGGCGACGGGGGGGGGGGGGGGGGGGGGGGGGGGGCTTCGACGGGGGAAAACTGCCACGCGCCTCGGGGCGCACGGCGGGAAGAAAAATCTGTCGCGCACCACGGGGCGCGCGACACGCAGAGTAGCAGCGGAAGCTAATGGGTGGGACCACCTACAGGATCGACCCATGAGGGTCGACCTGCTCTGATAGCATGTTAGAAAGTCTAGGCAAGAATGAGAAACAGGCAAGAAGGGTTTTCACTAACAAGCATAGGGATACATATAGCAAACCCTAGAAGGGCTGTACTCGCTATAGAGTACCTTACTACAGGATAGACAACCATCATATTCTGACATGAGTGAGCAAGAGGCAGTTTCAGAGGTGCTTGTGCTTGTTGGAAACAAGTAATTTAAAGCGCTTCTGATGTGTTGAAACATCGAACCGTAAAGAAGCGAACTACAACGGAACATCGGCGAGTCAACCGAGGAGGTTGACAAAATGGTAACAGCCGGAGGTTACGCGAAGGTCAAAGGTCGCTGACCTTTGACTCGACAAATACAGCGCGACAGCAAGGACACACAACCGACTCGTTATTGAGCGGTTGCCCGAGTCGTCACTGTATCGAACCGCAACAGCAAAACAGTTATTGGCTATATCTCTTCATATTCCTTGTACTCTTATAAAAACTTGTATCTCCTTGTTTTAATCAATTCATTTTGCCCTCACATACCAGCGCAAGGTGGTTCAACCTTTAT